TCGGATGGGCTGCCGCTCCACTCTTCCGAAATGGGGGCGCCCCCGGCCGCTTCGCCGGCCTTGGCGCCCCCATTTCGAAACCCTGTACGAGCTCGCGCCCATCCGAAGCGACTAGGCCCCGGGTGGCACGAAGCCTTATTTTTAGGCTCAAATTGGGTTGTAGAGTAAGCTTGTATCGAGCAGATACCCATCTTTAGCAAAGCTACCCGGGACGGGGTAAAGCCCAACTTTTAAGTGTCATATCTCGCGAATGCACTGTTTCCGAAAAGTTTTTTCAACTGATCTGTAATCAGCTCGACTTGCTGAGCATTTTGGCATATAAAAACCCAAAATCCGTTTAGTGACCGGATACTTCAGTTGCCAACTTTGAAGCTTCATATCTCGAGCTAGAAGTGTTTCCCAAAAGTTTTTTCAACTGACCTGTAATCAGCTCGACCTGCTGAGCATTTTGACATATAAAAATCCAAAATCCGTTTAGTGACCGGATACGACAATTTAGCCGTGAGTGGTTGTTGCCGTTGCTGTCCTGCCCGTGATGGGAAAACCACATCGCGCGCCGCTGATAGACGGGCATCTCGTTGCTGGGGAGCTTCAAGGTGTCTGCGGCGGGCATATCTAGCAGCATCGGCTGCCTGACGTGCCACCCTCTCATCATCAGTTTCGGTCTGCCGAATTTGCATCATACGGTTAGCGTTTGCCGTCCTCCGAGACTGGGTTTGATTTGGTGTTTCATGCTGTCTCACTTGAGCCATGTGCCTGGCATTTGCACCGCGACGTGCCTGCGTCTCAACTGAGGTTTCGCGCTGCCTAGATTGGGTCATTTGTCTGGAATTGACAACACGCCGAGCTTGAGTTTGTTCTGGTGTCTCACTTTGCCTAGATTGTAGCATTTGTTCCGAATTGATAGCACGCCGAGCGTGAGCTTTTTCCGGTGTCTCCCGTTGCCTAGATTGTAGCATCTGTCTAGAATTGGCAGCGCGCCGAGCCTGCCCCTCTTCTGTGGTCTCATTCTGGCGTACTTGGGACATGCGTGTTGCATTTGAATTTTTTCGAATTTGCGTGCGGTCAATAGGAATAGGTTCGGCCTCATTGTCCATCGGATTCCAGGCCACTGGTTGGTCGGTCGAAGCCACGTGAGTAGGAAGCCTTGCCTTTTTGTTAACCCTAGAGTTCTGCTGATATTTCCTTTGTTGTTCAGTGAATAAGGTCCGTTCTTCGTGACTCATCTTTTCCCTTAGGCGTTTTTGGGAAATACGCCGTTGACTTAAATTCTGTTCCCGCTCATCTGGTGTTTGGCGGGCCCTTGCTTCCCGCATTTTCTCTTTTTTCGTTGGTTTCCGAATGCGGTTTGATGGTCCTGGCACCTCAGGGTCGCTGAAGTCCATTTCCTCTACCGCATCCGTTAGCGTTGTCCCCGGAAGGGATTCATTAAGGAAATGCGTTGTTCCGGAACTATGGTCTCTTGCGTTTTTACATATCTCTTCCTCCTCATGGGTTACTTCTCCATTGTCAATAAAGACGCTGTGAAAATCATCCTGATGGGAGTTTCCAACCTCAAACATGTTCGGATTGACGAATTCGTCAATAAGGTTATTCGTGGCCGACATAGGGGCCGTGGCGTTTGGGCTTGCGAAGTCACCCATTCGGGATCCTTCTCCACCGTTCATTGTTTGAGCTTCAAATTCACCCCGAAGGGATCCTTCTCCACCGTTCATTGTTTGGGCTTCAAATTCACCCCGGAGGGATCCTTCTCCACCTTTCATTGTTTGGCTTCGGATTACACCCCGAAGGGCTCCTCCTCCACCATTCGTGTGGTGGGTTCCGAACGGACCCTGATGGACCCGTTCTCCCCCTGTTGAGCGGTACTGGCTCAACCCTTCGCACATAGTATGCTCCGGGTTGGCACGGCCGAAAAAATGCGTAGAAGCAGCGGCAATGGGCAGGAGACGCGGCGGGTCGTTGACGTGACGCCCGTCCTTCACGGGGGTGTCGTCGTGGCCCGTCTCGTCCCCGTCCATCAGCAGCAAGGCGAGGAAGACGAAGGCACGCAGCAGGCGCATAACCTCCCACGGATGTGGTCGGTTATTGAAGGTATCATGTTAACAGGCAGTTTGATTTTATATGAAAGTAGCTATGTAAAACGGGGGCTATATCCGGATTCCAATCAGGACGCCCTCAAATTAGGGAATCAAATTTTCCACATTTTTTTTCCGTTTTACTTTTTACTTTTAGTTGTTCATTTTACTTTTAGTTGTTCCTATGTTACTAATAACTCTGCAAATTGGTTTGGAACATTTCAAACATAAGCTAACTCGAACCTATTCGGATGCTATCGTTTGTTTAATCGGGTTTCACGCATTAAATCTTGAATTAATCTGCTGGTAGCCGCGCTTCCTTAAAAATCTGAATTTGCTTCGGTACTTAATATACGCCGCTCCTTCAGCCCCTTCTATTCCCATAACCGCTGACGGACGATTAGGCTTAGGCTTAGCTAACTAAGACGGACGGGCAATATTTTCAATCCCGTCTTGGACCTATAATAATCCTCAATTTACATACCAATCTCACTGGAAAAATAGGAGAATGGAGCCCCGGCTTCCTTTTATATGCGCTAGCCGACTTCCGGTTGTTTCTAATATTTCCTAACAAAGAAGGTCAGCCGATTTTATAACAAAAATTGCATTTTAACGTCGAAAATAGGTATTTTTGATAAATCTCATATGCGTGCAGTCATCTCCAGACTATTACGCACCTAATGACGTATCATTCGGACCTTTAAAGCCTTCTCCTCACCCGATAGCACTGGAACACGCTGACGGAAGTTGCATGCAAATGCACACACATACATACACACACACACAGGAACTATTTTTTTATATATTGTAGGATATGTTACCATCTGTTATTGATTTCACATTTCATTCGAACTTTCGATTTTCTCGATTTGGTTCGATTAACTTACCGGAAAGCAAATAAAATAATCTTTTCGCATTTTCATTTACCGACTAATGGGCCTTTTCATTGCTATCATTAATTACTAGTGCATAAGAAGTACATACTAAATACTACTAAATACTACTAAATACTAAATCAAAACGAAAGATCTATGAAATAAAAAATTTAACAATGAATTTCTGGCTTCGCCCTAAACGTCACTATTTTGCGACTATCGAAACGCCCACAGCAACGAAACTTTTTGAAACATGGCTCGGAAATTTCTAAAATTCTTAAATGTCCGGTGAAAGCTGTCTGTTATTCATTTCACATTCGATTCGATTTTTGCGGGTCCGATTTTTGCGATTATCTTTACCCGATCCTAAATAAAAATAAGCCTTTCTCATTTATCGTTTTTTTTTAATCGATTTATCGTCGTTTTTTACCTTCCCATTTCTCCCGTTACTGGCTAATTTTTTCCTACTAATGGTTGCCATTGATAAATAGTTAAGGCCATAAGTTAATTTTTGTTGCCATGATAATAAAAGAAAAAAAGAAAAGCAGTTGGTCATGCGCTGGTAGAAATAATATTGTGAACTCTGGAGAGCTTTTGCGCAACATACTTTTCAGAAACATTGTTTTGAAATTCTAAACTGACCGAAAAATGATTCATTTCACATTCAAATCGCGGTAGTATTTCTTTTCCCGCTCCATAGCAAATTCAAAAACGAAATAAAATACCAAATCACGAAATCACCAAACTTTATATAAATTTTGCAACACAAAACTGGACACTCGTAATTCGTCGAAAATAACGAGAAATTTATGGTAGTTTCGTACCTCTGAATTTCTACCTTTAATGGTGCGAATTTACGCCCTTTAATTGTTCCCATTAATAGTTTATTTAAATCTAAACAAAATCTTCATAGCTCTGATCATCTAACAAAGATAAAAAAGATCAATTTCTGACCACAACCCACGATGTGATCTTGCGACTATCGAAGCGTTCGGCCCCGACTAATTTTTATGAAACATTGTTTTTAAATTACCATAAACAAATAGTAAAACAATTGGCTGAACGCTAAAAGGAGGTAATATTGCTAACATTGAAGCACTTTTGCACAACATAATTTATAGAAACATTGTTTTGAAAGCATTTTCCAGGGCCTTGAAGTGATTCATTTCCAAATTATAATTGTTGTGGTTTTCTTACTGAACAGTGCATAATAAATTCAGAAACTTCATATAAATTCACCAAATTTTTAAACACCAAACTGGTCATTGGTAATAATAAAAAAAAATAACGAGGAATTTATGGTAGTTCAATATTTTCGCATTTCTTTTTTTGGTGGCGAATTTGGGCCTTTATTTGTTGCCATTAGTAAATACTAGTTTAGGTCGACGGAATTATTATAGCTATGCTGGTAAAACAAAGAAAAACGATCAATTTTTGACCACCACCACGAGGTTGCGCATTGCGACCACTGAAGCGTTCGACCCCGACTAATTTTTTGAAACATTTTTTGAAACTTTCAGCTTTTAATTTTCTAAATTTCACCGACAAATCTCAGTTACTGTTGAAAATAAGCCATTAATATCAATAAATTTATTGGGGTTTGAAAATTGTTAATCTGGGCAAAATTGTTCGAAGCGTTTTTTTTACGAAATGGGACTTTCTATGTTTGCGATATCTCCAGAACTACCGAGCGATGTAATAGTAGTTATTTTCCTACTATTTTAGTAAATAAGCTGATTTTAAGAAAAAAAAAACATTATTCTTCGTCGAAAATTGGCCATTTTTGGTCGAAAATCGGCATTTTTGTAGGTCCTAATCAAAATTTTGTAAGGTTTTTACAATTAGAAAAATAAAAAGCAGTTTCGAAACAGTTCTTGTATTTAAATTAGAGAAATTGGATCCTTAAAAAATAAGAAAAATTAATTTTGGTACCGTGTAGTGTATCTTATTCTCTTGTAAACTTTATACAACACGTACCCGATCTCGAATCACGAAATTCTATAGTTATAATCTAATTTAAGAAATATGTTTCATCAAAAAAAAAACACTATAAAGGCGTAAATTCGTCAATCTGGTCAACGAGTTCGCTTTTCCGGACTTTTCCAGTGGAAAACTTGGGGTGAAAACCGTTGGTTTTTGGCTTTTCGGCGATTCCCTCGATTTCCGCATATTTCCCCAACCACGACACGTCCTTGCCGATTCTGAAACATTTTTATTAATTTATTGAATTAAGCAGTTAAAATAGTTCTAAATTATTTAATTTATATAATTTAAATTCAAAATACCTGAATTTTACATTTAAAAGTTTATATAAATTATAAAGATATAAATTAAGGCGTAGCTGATTCTCCAAACTTTTCTTAGTCTGGGTAGTCTTAGATTTAAAATAGCTAATTTATTGCCAAAAATTATAAGCCATTGGGATTTTAGCAATTTTAATTGTTATTTTTAATTTTGCGTTAAAATTTTAGTAATTTAATTTCAATTTTTTTAATTATTTAAACTAATGGGATCAAAGGTGCTTGATGTGCAGTTTAGTAACTATAGACGGATTTCTTTTTTACGGGATAGAGATGAAACATCGACTCGATAAGATGGTTTGCCGCCAGATACCTCATTTTTCGGGCTTTGTAGTTGAAATGAAACACACATTTAACTCATTTTCAGTTTGAAAAGTAGATAATGAAAACGTTTTAGGGAATAATACGCCACAATTTATTAAATTTCTATTTAATAATCAGTTCATCTAGGGGTTCGTTTGACATTCAGCCATGAAAATAATAAAGTTTCAAAAAATAATGCGCCGCAATATAATTCGTGTTACATAATTGCTTGAATGCAAATTTACCGCAAAATGATGCGTTCCCATTTGGGGATCGTTGATGTCGGGTCGCGCAGCTTCCGGATTTTTCGCCACCTGAAATTGTTTTAAAGTAAAAAATCAAATTAATTAACAATTTCAATTTTAGCCTAAATTAATTTTTAATTGAACCGATTAGTATAAAGATAAAAAATAAAAACTAATAAAAATTAATTTTGAACAATTAAAGGAATGCCGACGGCATAGTCAATCGGTTACGCGCTGGAAAGAAAATGTCTCTGCGCCTCTCCCCAGCGCGCGCTCTCTGCCGGGCGCGCTCTCTGCCCTATTGGCTACTTGCCAATTTGTTGATGGGGGGAATCGACACATGCCGTCGGCAGCCCTTTAAATTGCACCAAACCGCCACCAATGGGATGCCCTAGATCCTATCATCTCTTCGCCGGCAATTGTGAAAAATAAATCTTAAAATTTATAAATTAGCGTTGGATAGTTTTCCAGATTTTGCCATGCCTCGGCTCCTCGCCAGGTTGCACCTGTGGCTGACTGGTATGCGACCGCGGCTGCCGATCGGGAGGCCCGGGTTCGACCCCCGAACGCGGCAAAAATCTTTGCTTTCTTGCCCAAAAACGTCCCTGAACGTGCCCTTTAAAGACCGCTAGAACTCTTGAACGCACACTGTCACCCCGAGGGTGCGCCCCCCAAGAACGAGCAGGTAGAGGCGTCATTAGTGGCGCCCCGTACTGGGCAAAGGCCCTCTGGGGTTTTGGGGCGCCTCAGACTCGCTTCTCCACTCGGCCCTGTGGTATAGTGGATAGCGCGTCGGACTTTGGAGCGAACCATCGCGGGTTCGAACCCCGCCCGGTGCGCAATTTCTTGCCTTTAACGAAGTTTTGATCGTTCTGACGGTCTTTACGAAATTCTGTAAAAACAGCTCGCCAACAATTTTACATGCTCGCCTACTAATCCACTATTGGTGACTAGCAAAGTGCCAATGAACGGTAATGCCTTGAAACATGCATTTTTATCTAATTGGCAAATTACAATTTATACGAACGGCTGCACGATATTTTATTCTTTGTATGCATTTCAAAGTATTTCGTTTCATTAAGTTTTATAAAGCAAACTATTTATCTTATTGGGATTGATGGAATCTGTTTTAAAAAATAACCGGGCTGAAAGCTAAAATTATTTCCAAATTTTTTTTTGGATAAATGTATGAAAGCATTTCCCCTTCTCGTAAAAGAGTTTTTTTAGTCCTTGAGTGGCCCTCGACTTATAATTTTTTATTAGAAAACCATTGTAAAAACATGAGAAATTAACTCACTTTTCCAGCCGAAACAGAATCAGATACTCGATGACAATCTTGTTGAAAAGGTAGGAGACTCCGCAGCAGGCGGCAGCTGGAATATTTTACAATCATATTTTTTATCTTATTTTTATCTTTAACTCACTTTACTATTTTATTAAGTTGGATATTTTTTGCATTATCAGTTTCACTTATTAAAATTTAATTTTAGATAGTATTCTTTGCAAAAAAGACTGGGCAAAACATGTTTCAGCAAAATATTGGGTTGTACGTGTTTTGAAAATGATAATATATGGAAGATCATGACTACCAAACGTCTTACTTAAATTTAAAGGAACCAGCAAGCGGGATCAAAGTTTTTTTTGTTGGCTATGGATCCTAAGGATTTTTTCACCCGCTTCACGCAACGCGCACGCTGCGCGGCTGCCTTGACGCGACAATAATGCCCGTTTTAGGGCTGAATTACTAAAAAGCAAAAATTCGAATTCGTTAGGGATCCGAACCCCCTAACTTAAGTTTAGCCCGGTAGACCGAGGCCCGATCGAATGCACCAAAGCGGATATGGTATTTGGGGTTTTTAGTCCCCCAAATTAGTCGAAACAGTGTTTCATAAAAATACGGCTTTCCGCGTGTTTTGGAAACGACAGTAGTGAGCAATTAGTAGTTAATACCAGTTGCGCTATTCGCTGACCTTAAATTTTAAACGGACTCTCCAATAACGCCAAAATTTTTTCCTATGTATTCGCGGAGGTTTTCTTCCGAGCCGCGACACACAACGCGCACGCGGCGCGGCTGCCTTGACGCGAAAATAATGTACTTTTTGTTGCTGAATTACCGAAAAGCAAAAAGTCGAATTCCTCAGGGACCTGATAGCCGAGCCTTAGCCCGCTAGATCGGGGCCCGATCCAATACACCACAGGGTAGATGGAGCGAGCTTTTTTTATCCTTTGTTATTGGTCGAAAAATGCTTCCTGAAATCACAAAACATGTTGGAAAAAATGAGATTCAGTATCTAGGTTCGTATTACTTAAATTATTTATTATCGTATTACTTAATTTGTAAGGGACCAGCTCTGATATTGCCGAAACAGTGTTTCATAAAAATACTAACTTTCGCATATTTTGGAAACGACGATAGTGAGCAAATGTTGAATTTGTGGAAAATTCAGTTGCATAACACGCTCGCTGCTCTTCATTTTCAAGAGCGGCGCAGGGCAGATGAATTTTTATAGGCTATGGATTAGCATGGCATTTTTTCGAGCCGCGGGACGCAACGCAGACGCGGCGGGCCCGTCTACAAGCTATATTATTACGCGATGTAAAGGGTTGATTGAGTTGTATTAAGTTATATAATTTTCTTTCTTTATAAGCCCATTAATTTTCATACAGATTTTCTTTTTATTTAATTTTATTTTCGAAAAATGCGTCGGGCATGCGTTGCGTGTCGCGGCGCGGAAAAACTCAGAAGAAATCCATATAACCGAAAATTTCTGAAAATCCCATTTTGTCCCCTTTAAAATCAGACTACAAAATAGAACAATAAAAATAATTGCTGAATTATATTTTGTCACTTTACGGGGACTTTTAAAGGGACTAGCAAGGCATATCTATGAATTTTTCATACACCGTAAATTCTGTGATTTCCAAACCGCGACACGCGACGCATACGTTTTTCCGCCGCGCGCGAACTGCTCTAATCGATTACGCCATTTAAAAGCAACACTGCGCGTTGTATGTCGCGGCGCGGAACAATTGATAGAGAATCCATAGTCAAAAATTCACAGAAACCCCTTGTAAAATACCTTTTAACGAAAAAATAATAATTCATAAAAACTATGCTAAAAACTACGAAAAACCTACAAACCACCACCACGAAAAGTCGATCCTCAAAGTACGGTATCGGGTCGTACTCCAGGAAGCTGATCACCCACCCGGCCGGCCACAGCGTAATGTACAGGGAGACCTGCAAAAATAATGTGGTCCAGATATTCAACAGGTTGTGAATCATATTTACCAATAATTAACTAATCGATCGGAAGACTATTTCAGTAAATGTTATTTAGCATGATCTAGTATGATTTTGATGGTTTAATTTTGATCCCTCGATTAAGTCGATAATAGAAAAATAATTGCTTTAGCTTCCAGAAAAAAGTGTTTCAAGACATCTCCGTGAGCCGCTAGGATCAATTCAAGTAATCTTTTGCCCTCCTTTTCCAAATCTACTATTTGCCGAAAAACCCTAACTGTAAAGTTAGGCAAACTTAAGAAAAAGTTCCATTTTTGCGCGTGTACATTTTCTGGCATTAATGTAATGTCAAAATTAATAATATAAAATCAATTTTTAAAGATTGCGCGACAAATTCGGTAAATTGGGGCTACTTTGAAATCGCATGTTTCAAACAAAATCCATGCACTAAAGCTGATTTATTCGGGAGTAAATTTTTTCTCAACGGCTATTGCAGAAATTGATGTCTTAACGTGCGGCGGGTTTGCGCACTTTTTAAAAACATTTTGTCTTGTCACAAGTAGCCTGGCCAAATTTGGATCATTGCGTTTTTTGGATTAATCGAAAAGCCGTTTTTCCTATCTTTCAAAAATATTAAAATTCTCTTCCCATATTTATAAAACACATTTTTTAAATTTTGTGGATTATTATCTATAAGTTTACAGTTTTAATCAGCGAGAATTCCAAAAATTTGAAAAAGCCATTGAAGTGTTCAGTAACCTTTCGGTTCTCACTTTTGCTTACCAGTTTGTTAAAACATATTATTTCCGAAAAATCACCCTACCGCCGTGGTGAGGGCGATGGCGAAGCAGAGCATCTTGTTGTTCAGGATTGTCTGCCGGTATGGCGCCGCTAAATTTCAGTAAATGCTATTAAGATTATTGTTTGCTTTAAATTTATAACGACAAATAAAATTATAGGATGTTGCTGAATGTCCTGAAACATTCATTGCGATAAAATGTTTCTAAAAAATATTACGGCGTTGCCACGTTTTCGCGTTATTAATCGTGCTGGCTTCGTACCTCTTGACCACACAAAAATTATCTCTAAGACAATTTAAAAAATTGTTTATTTTTGTTCTACATATTGCAGCTATTTCGATACTAAAAATATGTTTTAGAACAAAAATAATTTTGAATTTATGATTAAAATTGATATAAATAAAATATAACATTGATATTTTAACCTCTTTTAGTACATTTTTACCATGTAACATTTTAAAATGGATGTAAACAAAATTTAATATATCCATAAAGCCCATTTTCAAATATCCACGTAAAATATGTTTCAAAGATAAACCAGTGTCCCCCTCTACGATCCTACATGATTCCTCGGGGAGGCAATCCATTCCACATAATTCATGTTTTTCCGTAGGAGATTTCATGTAAGATTCATGGTACAGCCAATGATTTTCAGTCACTTTTATACTTCTTAATTAATCATTTTCCTTAAATACATTTATTTCATTAATTTTTACAAGCTAAATTGCTGGTTTTGGGGTCAATCCAATATTTTTAAAGTTTTTGAGTGCGAAAAAATGTTTCAAAAATACAGCAATTTCGCACCGTTTTCGGCTTTTCAATGCAGCCTCGCTTGGAAACTTCCTGATTAAATGACTTTTGGATTTTAATTAACGCGATTTTACTACCAATTTTCAACGGGTTTATTCAAGCCCTTTGTTATTTATATGCTGATGCTAATAGATAATATTAGATAGTGTTTTAATAGGTGATGCTAGCCATTTTCCAAAACGGTTAAATAATTTTCGAATTTTGAAAATTTTGTTTCTGTTTTGGTGATTTTTATAAAGTTTAATGCAAAAGTTAAATTTCTAAATTTTTTGGGTGTTTTATATATCTAAAAGCTGGGCAAAATCATAAAAATGGTTTTGATTTGCCAATAGCCTTATGGGATTACTGAGAAAAACTCGGCTGGCCCCACCGCTAATGCCCCAGTACAAATTTCCGAATATTAATGGATAGCCTTTTAGATATTTTTAAAGCATGCTGCAATTGTTTAGAAGATACCTTTACTATACAAGAAGGCCAAGACGATGTACTGGAATAGCGACAGGCACCACGTGGCGGTTCCCTGAAAAAAACGTGTTTCATAAACTTGTGCAATTTTTTTAGAGTTATGGAAAATAATTGCAAATAAACCGTTTCTTTTCAATATTTTCTGAAACAAACGCGATAAATTAGGCAGTTCCAAAAAATGTACGGGGGTTAAAATTCCTTTTCAAAAACATCATACGGAAAATTACCAAAAATGCGTATAGTTCGCTTCAACTCTGTTAAAAACGAACTTGATGTGAGCGTAGATCGGCATCTGAATAGTCTTCTTGCAGAATATTCATAAAAAACCACGGTTGCCGCGTCACCCACACGTAGATGAAGAACTTAAAAAACTTATTTTTATCAGTATTTAACAAAATTTTTCATACAAAAACAAAAATAAAATTTTTACGTCAAGAAATCCCCATGAACGATTGGTTGAAAAGATTAGTTTCAATCCAAATATGTCTTGGCATAAATAGCTTTGAATAACAGACAACGAGTTTTAAAAAAACCCAAATAATTCTACCAACCTTCTTTTTTTAGGAAAAGCGAAAAATACATGTAAAAAGGTTGGTTTCAAAGAATTTTGGGAAGGGTTATGACCGGGATATTTTAATGAGTCTCGAGTGTCGCATCTACTATATGATACGATAAGCTACGGTCCGCTACGATAATAAGATAGCTACGTTGCGCTACGCTACTGCACGCTACTGTACGCTACGGTAGTTTACGTTAACGTACTACGTTACGCTACGCGACGATAAGCTATACTAAGTTACGCTCTGCAAAGATGCTGTATGCTCATGTACCATACAGTATGCAGCGGTACGGACGGAGGGATTGGATAAGCTACTAAACGAGGTACGATAAGATGCGCCGCGCTTCTTGACGGTTCGATAAGCTACGTCACGCTACAATGCGATATGCTACGATTTGATAAGGTAAAGCCACTCAACGATAGGCTACAAACCGCTTAGCTACACACTACGGGATGTTACGGTAGGATACTCTGCGACCAGCTACGGTACGATACGACACGGTGTGATACCATACGCTATGATAGGTTGCGCTATGGTATGCTACGCTACGATGCGCTACGATACGTCACGAAACGACACGACGTAGGGGTGAAACGATATACTACGCTACCATACTCTATGTTGCGCTACGCCACGATAAGTAATGGTACGCTACGCAACTATACGCTACGATACGACTTAGATACGCTACGACAAGCTACGCTATGCAACGCTACAAACCTGCGCTGCCGCATAAATTGCCATCTGACCGACGACGCTGACCACCGAGGCGATGGAGAGCAGTTTTGTTGGTGGCGGTATCCGAGCCAGGTAGTCGCCTGGAAAATGGGGATAACCAATTACGGTAGAAAACTGAAATTTAAACAAAAACGACATCTCACTTCAGTCCGCCCTCAAAATTGGCAAGAAGCCAACCGGTTACGCTATAGAAAAACGCGCGAGAGAGCGCATGCAAATGGTTTTAATGCAAATTTATACTTTAGACAACGAAGAAATTCAAAAATTTTGCTGTTTCTTTAAAGATGCTTGTTTCAATTTTAGGAGCTGCTCACAGGTATTTTATTGCACTAATCCAACGGGGCGAGATAAAATTACGCAATTTCCAGCTCTTGACTACGATGGGCTAGGTTCTATGAATGTTGATTCCTTGATTATTCGCTAGGAAAGTAACGGATTGACAAATTAAATATGAAACAAGCGAATTTTCAAAAAAATGGGCTAGATAGGAAATGATGTTTCGGTCACGTTCACTAAAGGCTTGGCTTTTTTCCGATTAATTCGACGTGGGGTCCTGTTAATGAATTCAAATTACCCTCTTCCTACGATCGATCATTTCATCCGAACTGTGAGGAAACTTTGAACTCTTCTCTAAAAACCAATGCTACAAGTTCCCCATAAATAAATGGTAAAATTTTACGATGGTCAAGTTGAAATGAAAGACTTTGATGTTTCAATTTTTTATGCGGATCGTGGGTATTTCGGCATCGTATTGATCACTTCCGCCGGAGGTTTAGTTCAAACTGGTCGAATAATTCAGGCCGCACATCACTGCAAAATGTTCTTTAGTCGTTTCTATCGCTGTTTCGTTCGTGGGCCTTTTATGCAGATTTCGAGGCTAGAAAAATATGTTGAAAATGACGGGCCTGGCGTCGGATCCTGGGATTTGGGTCTTCAGCTCGTTTTTTCAGAGATTTTTAATGTTTCAACGGAGGTACCTTAAATGAGTGGTAAAAGAATACGGATACGAGGAGTTCTTTAGGCTTAGAAAAGCAGTTTTTTAAAGTTTTGTTCGAAGAACAATGTTAGAGATGCGCTCAACGCTGGCATTTCAAAGAAATGTTTCTTTCAAACAGATTACAAGAAATTTATTCTTTTTATTATTATTATAGTCTATGCTGTTTTCACCGCGATTGAAATGGCTGACCTGGGGCTAAATTCAGATTCCAGTTTGGAAAATTTTAACAACATTTCCGAATGACATTTTTCAAACAAGTTTTGTGATTTTTTTGTTCTTCTTGGAAAAACGGCTAACTGATTTTGGAACTGATGCGTCACTAAGGTAGTCTAAATGCGCTTAGAATCCCGTGCGCAAAGCTAAAAATATTCGAATGGAATGCGTAATGGTGCGCTACTGGACTTCTACCATGGAAGCTGAATTTTATTTTGTGCCTATGTCCGATATCTGCATTTTCAAGATATACAGGGCATGTTTAAACTGTTTTAGTAGTTTTTTGATTGCTGCAAATTTATAAAAATATTTTGAAAAGTGCGGATAAAGTGAAAAATTGCTTTTTCTGCCTAGCTGCCCATAAGCTAATTTTACATGTTCAAAAACATTCGTCCTTCGAATTGCCGATTTAAAAAAACTGTTGGAGCAGAATGTTTCGAAAAATTTAGTTGTTCTGCCACCTTGAACCTTTTGTAATAGAGTTTTTAGCTTGTTCTGATAATTATCCTACCTTATGTAATTTTGGTGTGTATCTTTGTGTGTGTGTGTGTATGTGTGTGGATGTCAGTTTCGAGGCCGGATTTGAGGGCCTTCCCGTGCATAAAATGCGCTAATTCTGCCTGACCTTCCTCTTTCCGATGGCCTTTTCAGAATTCCGATAAAATACAAGTTTACAAAGTTAAAGCCGGTTTTATTCATTTTTGGGGTCCCTCAAGGCTAATTTGCATAGTGTGAAAAAATAGAAATTTCCTCATTCCAAGTTGCGCTCGCGTGTGTGGTCGGGGGGTCTGAAGGCCCCGAGCTATCGAAAACTCAAATTTCTCATGCAAATGCCGCATTCCAGCGCCCAAGGCCCGCGAAGCGGGTTTTGGGCGCTGGTCACATATTTCTTACAACTTGTTAGGATAGCATCTTTAAAATCGAATTTTGCAGTCAAATGTTTCGAGAAATTTTGCTGTGTTGCACTCTCGGACGAGCGCAATCCCTTATCGAGTTTCAGTAGTAGTTCCATTGTAATTTAGTTTCATTTCAGTCTCGTTATATTTTATTTTTTTACTCCTGCGATAACCGTTAAAAATAAAACAAAAATTTTTTCGACCCACATGCTCCGGTATTTCCAAAGAACAGCGCAATGAAGGTGGCGAGGAACAGGTCGATGTACAAAAACTGGAAATCCGTCAAATTCGTCAGCCGGTAGTACATCAACATCACCGAGGTGAACTGCAAAAAATCGCATTGTATTTCACTGTTAAAGATTTAACGGAATAAAAGGCTAAAACGTTTTTAAAGCCCATTTAAGTCTAAGGATTTTGAACGATTTAATGATCACAAAATTTGAAGGCAAGCTAGCGATGTTTATTTAGGAGAGTCAGTCAATTTATTTTGTTCGAGCAAATTGTACCGCCCCACTAAATTCCCTTAACTTTCGTTTTCTTTAAAGTGAAGCAAAACACATTATTGTCAGCCAATTTAAGGCTATTTAATGCCGAAACCTGGAACATTTATGGAACATAAATTATTTTTAACTCTCCTTATTAGAATGGCATTCCATCTGCAACTAAAATTCGTCTTCAAAACTATATATCACACGATTTACAAGATCCTATATATAGAAAACTTGTTACAAAAAAAATCAGGATATTCCATAACCCAAAAATATGCTGAATTTATGGAACACTATTTTTTCGAAGTGTTTCCTCAAGGGATTTGATAGGCGTGCGTAAAAGTCAGTCACCTCCTCGATTTTTCATTCTTTTTACAGACACTCAAAAAAATGGCTTTACAAAATTTAAATTGTAAAATTTATGGAACACCACTTTTTAGAAGCATTGCCATGCGGAATTTTTTTGTTTTCCAATGATGCAAGGCATATTATGTTCATCAACGCTTTGTTCGATTTGGAAAGAAGCGAAACACATTATTTTGAGGCGATTTAATGCTACTCAATACGCAAAAAATGCTAACATTTCCGAAAACATTTTAGAAGCTTTTTTGCAGGATTGTTTGACTTTTCGAATGGCGCTGAATGTCTTATTATGTTCATAAACCTTTCGTTGTCTTTAAAGTGAAGCAAAACACATTATTTTCTAATTAAGGCTATTTCATGCCGAAATGTAACATTTACGGAACATAAATTATTTTCAACCCTTTTTATTAGAATGGAATCCGATCTACAATTAAAATTCGCCTTTCAAATTCTATCAATTCAAAAATTCTATCATTTGTGGAATGCTACTTTTTTCGAAAGAGATGGTTTGTAGTATCGCTCAAGCAGTGAACTCAAGATTATGTTCTTAGGCTTTGGATTACATTTAAATTGCAGCGAAACACATTATTTTTCACCACTTTTCACGAGATTCCATTAGATTAACTAAGCTAAATTTAAGCGTACAGTCACCCAATGCGCTGATCCCCGAATTTACATATTAAAATTTAAAATATATTACTGAATCAGTGAGTCTATGAATATGCTATTTTCAGTCCCTTTGATGTCCGCTTTCATTCGCATAAAAGTATCTATCTATAAAAGTAGCTATTCCATCGAGATCATTTTCTCTATGTTTAAATAGAAGCGCAACACATTAATTTTACGGTCCATTAGTTGGCTTTAATTTAACTATAGTTCTCAGGCAATTTTTTATTTTTAACATTATAAATGAAACATAAAACCATTTAACAAAAATAGCCTTGGATTAAATTTAAAGTTGTAGTTTTTAGCCATAATCCAAAAAGAATCTAAAACGTATAGTTAGCAACATTATATTCCAAGAAAAATTAGAAAAATTAAGGCGCTATTTTGGCTTTCGGAGAATTCAATATTTTCCAGACACACAGAAGTGTATTATACTTATTGACCCTTATTTACATTTGCGGTGTCGCGAAACACGTTTTTTTTCCAAAAATTTTGCGCTTTTTGATTTGGTTTATGGTTGTCGCAAGTTGGCCTTAATAACGTGCCGAATACTTTTAAGACTAATTTCGTATTCAAACCCTTAAAATAGCCCTAAATCATACTGAACACCGACCTGCGCAATGGAGTAGTTTGCCATGTACTTGAAGACGCCAAAAGAAGTAACAAGGGCGGCTCGACCCTCTCGGATTACGGTAGGCACACACCGGATGTCGGCCACCTGAAAAACGCACAATTTAGCGTGTATATAGATATTTTTATGTCGAATGCTATAGAAAAATACTTGAAAATTTTTATTAAGCATCGATTTAAATCATGGCTGCGTTTTTAGGAATTTTTCTTTAATTTATAGATGTTTAAAGTATCAATTTTTTTGGGGTTTAAAGGTTTTCCAGTAAGTTCAAGGTCTTTGTCAATGTTCAATTTATTAGTGAAACTATGATAGCGCTAAACACAGCGCGAAGCCAAATTGAGCCTTAAACCGCCTGCTCAATAACCTAGTAACATGAAACATTTTTTCCAAATGTATTTCAAACTTTTTTGGTGAAAAAGCACTTTTGGTGGAATTTGAAGGTAACTAAAGCAATCTGTCTAAAGCCATGATGCTCTTCACTTTGCATAATTCCGGTTTAACGATCACAAAAAATGAAAATCGGCCCCTGGCTCCCATTATATAGGCTTTTACCACTTCCGATGTATGTTAATTGATTCCTAATAAAGCGGGCGGGCAAAAATTTTACAAAAACTTAAATTTAACGTTGAAAATAGCTGATTTTGGAAAATATGATGCGTGTGCAGTCATCTCCAGACCATTACGCGGTGCTTTAGGATTCCCGGGGGGAACCAATTTTTCCTGGTGATCCCGGTTGACCTAGTAATCAAATATAAAGTGTGTTCGAATTGTTTTTAGTAAGTTTTAACTATATTTAAAGCAGAATAACTTTCAGAAAAATTTAGAAAAATGTTTAAAAAAGTCGAAAATTTGGTCATTTTGGGTCTTTCCCCCCCCCGCGAATCCCAAAGGTTCTATAGGATTTTTCGCCCTAATTTTTATTTTTTTAATTTTGTTTGGTTAAAATTTGTGTAGTTATTATGCTCAGGAATAGTTAAAAACAATTTAGAAACGCATCCGCAATTTATAAAAAAAATCTAGGCTTGTGCCGAAAAAAATTTTTTAGGTGGAGAAAGGTATAGCCTTGTAGTAGTTTTAAACATCCTATGGGTAAGGCGTCACTGTAATTTTTTTGTGATATTTTTTCGATCCGGGTTTATTATTATTGTTTATTGTTTTAATTAATAAATCTCGCGTTATTAAAGTGTGTTAAAATTAGCGTTTTAATTTCTTCCCTGTAAAGGGCGCCTTGCTAATTTTTCAGAGAGAAGACAGACACGGTAAAATAATTTCCAAGCCGATCCACGACAATTCAAATTACCATGAAACATCATCTCACAAAGTACGCTCTTGTCCAGCTTTAGAAATTTTTTGAAATGTGAAAAGTTAGCTTTGGCGCAAAAATAGCAACAAAATTTTTAGCATTCTCCACCTCGAATTGATTTGAAAACAACCGCCAGGGACTCTGAAAAATTCGAAACACTCACTTTTGAGGTGAACGGGGCTGCAATGGATGCCTCGGCGTCGGAGAGCGAGATTCCCGCGTGCGCTGCCTACAATCCTTATTGTAACCCTCTTTTGGTCGAAGTGGAAATTCCGTACGTGAGATAGCACATCTTGTGCAGAATTTTTTTGCTGATTCCGAATCTGTTTTCAAAAGTTGCGGAACCCCTCAGATTAAAAAGTTACAAGCGTTTTAAATACCCAAAATGTCACAAATCGCTGACTTTAAAACGTTCTAAAAATTCCGTAAAATACTTGTGGGGGGAGAGTAAGGCATTTTCCGGGGTAAAAAACACGCTCTTTCGAATGGGCTACCTCACGAACCCGTAGCTCAAAATTTGTAAAATTTCGAAAATCGACGATCTTGGGCATGGGTCCGCCAAAAAAAACTTTTTTGCAAATTTTGAGCTACTGGTTCGTGAGGTAGCCCATTCGAAAGAGCGTGTTTTTTACCCCGGAAAATGCCTTACTCTCCCCCCACAAGTATTTTACGGAATTTTTAGAACGTTTTAAAGTCAGCGATTTGTGACATTTTGGGTATTTAAAACGCTTGTAACTTTTTAATCTGAGGGGTTCCGCAACTTTTGAAAACAGATTCGGAATCAGCAAAAAAATTCTGCACAAGATGTGCTATCTCACGTACGGAATTTCCACTTCGACCAAAAGAGGGTTACAGTTAGTGTACGGTATAATTACCCCCGACACTCCAAAACGATATATAATTAGTGACCTATGAAAGGTAGCGGAATTTTTGTTGGGCGTTTCTTTGAATATTGACGTTTCTAGAACACCGCATTAGCCAAACTTCGTCGTAACATATATTTTTTTAATGAAAATAAACGACAGCGTTGCTTTTGCGCTATATTCAGGAGGGAAAAAACAATCCAGAAATCTGCTCTACACACCAGAATAATTACTTTTAACCAGTTACTTCGCTCTGCATTTATTTTAACTTGAATTTTGTGCTGGGAACAGGATTTCTTCGTTGAATATCAGATTTTTCAATGTCAATCGAACTCAAATGCGCGATTTCAGGTGGCGTTAAGCAGAGAAATGGATGAAACAAGCATTTTCTAGGAAAATTATCTTTTCTTGACAGCTTGCCACAAACTTTATAAAAAGGCCCTAAAAATACATAATTCCGATTTTTTAAGAAAAAAATTCGTTTTCAACAGGGTACCAATTTTTAAATTTTTCATTTAATACATACGCAGACTTGACTAAGAAGACTATTAAAACGTAATTTAAAAGAGCCAAAACGTGGCATAACTGGGTTTTTTAGGAAAATACTAACGGAGGACGGAGGATAGGACTCAATTACGCAATGTAATTCCAGCGTGCGTCTTGCGTCCCATAGGCATGTCTTTTTAAAATCCACTATTTTTTCAACTTTATTTAAAAAAGTTAAAATTCTTTAAAACCAGGGTTCAAAAGCCGCTTCGCGACTTTTCAACCCTGGCCCCGTCTGGGACCAATGAGATTGTAATTTGCATAATTCCGCCTCAATCAACTTAGAAAAATGAAAACTCGTGTGCCAGCCCTTTATATAGGCGTTTTCTACTTCCGGCATATGCTAATTCGTTCCTAACAAAGAGGGCGGTCGAAAACTTAACAAAAACCCTAATTTTAATGTCGAAAATAGCTTATTTTTATGATTCTAATAGGTGTGCAGTCATGTCAGGACCATTACGCACCTAACGACATATCATACCCGCCGTAAAACCCCGTCCCTATTGAGTTAACCTCCGGACATACTGACGGAAGTGTATGCAAAGTGTCACACACACACATACACTATTTTTTTATATATAGTAGGATAACTTTGTATTAAAACTCCATCTATTTATGCCTTACCAATCCCTATAAAATCGATACCTTAAGCGCAGCACAATCGTTCGCCCCATCACCACACATTGACACGGTATACTCGAGCGTCTGGAGGTAATTCACCAGATATTGCTTCTGTTCCGGCGCCATACGCGCGAACACGTCGCATCTGGAACGTGTGAATTCATTCCAAAATCATACAACCTAAAATATTCTATAAGAAATGTGAGTTTCATAAAAAGCCATCTTCAAAATTAGGTCTGGGCTGACCAATCGACGCGCTACGGGATTCGTTTCTAATCCGTTTCTATGGCATAATGAATTATTCAGGGATCAAAACAGGCAATTTTTTTAAGAAGCATTAAAATTCATGTTTAAATTAAAAAATTTAATTGTTAATTCTGCGAAATCGAATAATTAAAACAATTAAACAATTCAATGTAATTCCTAGTGAGACGCACATTTCTTTTTTTTTTGCAAAAAAAGTGCGTTTCAGAAAAGAGCGCGTTGCGTTTGGCTTTTATATCTTTACTGGCGTATTTCTATTTTTTTTCTGACTCTGCTCTGACGATATTTGCTATTTATCTCGGGTCCTTTTTGAGGCTATTCGATAGAGTCTCAAAGATAGAATGAATGTTAATTTCGGCCCAAAATAAAGTTAAATAGAATAGTTATGGTAAAAACATGCAAACTCCAGAAAACCTCTCAAACACTGACCGGTTGGGGTACAAGAAAGACTGGCCCTTGAAACTTATCTTCTAAAAAATATGATTCTGAGAAAAATGTGCTAAAATTTGGTCCGGGGACACCAATCGACGTTGATTGCCAGCCATTCTTCCAAGCGCCATTGCGCCTAATTCATATCACTTTCCAGCGATGGACTAAGCAAAAACCAAGCCGGTTTTTCATGCTACATGCTACACATTTTTTGCGGTGGAGTCGAGAATCCTCGTAAATGCCAAAATCTAAATTCGCGTTTTAATTCATCCAGGTTAATTTGATGATATTTTTAGGTTTTTGCACTTTGTAATAAATATAATTTGCTTAAAATGTAGATAAAATCATCAGAAAGCCAATAAAATCACTTGTAGTGCAATCGATCATTAATTTTTAATCATAATTTTTATATTTGTATTCTTGGGCGTGCGTTATGGTCGAATACTAATTAATCAGCGAGAGAGCTTGATTTTCTGGTATCAAAGCTGTAACTCATATTTTGCAATTACATTTACCACGAAATATATAACCTGCTCAATTTAATTAATTTCTACTTTTATTAAACCTAATAGAAATATTTACAGTATTTAAAAACTCGGTATTTCAATTTACACATTTAAAAAATATATGAGTGTAGAATTCAATCCAGAACTGCTTTTTGGTAATTCTCTAACAGAAATTTGGCCATAGTTCATCTTACAACAGGACTGGGCATTAAGCAAAGATTTATTTGCTTTTTTTGGTTATCAACCCTGATACATACTTTTCCAAAAAAAATGTTTAGCGTTCTATTAAAGTAAATATAAAAAATAGTGTCTGTGTGTGTGTTTGTGTGTGTGTGCCACTTTGCATCCACTTCCGTCTGTCTGTCCGGAAGTTATCTCAAGAAGGGACGGGTATTAGGCTACGTATGATACGTCATTAGGTGCGTAATGGTCTAGGGATGACTGCACACATATCAGATTTTTAAAAATTAGCCATTTTCCCTATTAAATTTAGGTTTTTGTAAAAACCTCTTTGTTAGGTATAATTAGCATAGACCGGAAGTGGGTGGTCGCCTATATAAAGGGGCAGAAGGGGTTGTTTTTCATTTTTTTTTTTGTCTTCTGGATGAAGGACAAGTATGCAAAGGGCAGAATAGTATGGGGTCCGAGACGGGGCCAGGGTTGAAAAGTCGCGAAGCGGCTTTTCAACCCTGGTTAAAGTAAAAAACTCTGCCGTAAATTGGATTCAATGAAGCATCAATATTTTATGGCAGTTTTATCATCATGCTCTTGATGCTTCATTTAATTTAATTTACGGCAGAATTTTGTATGCCTAATAGATCGCGGACCAAATTTTTGAAAAAAACGTGTACCAGGGCTGAAGGATAAGAATCCAAATAAATTGTTGCTTAATTTCCACTCAGTTGCGGTTTGAATTATGTCCAAATTTTTGTTAGAAAATTACAAAAAAGCATCTATGGATTGAATTCTACCGCTTGGTGCTCCCCTTACTCATCTACTCCGAACAGAACCAATAATAAAATTTATAGTTTTTCAAAACGACGGCGGTATTTTTTGGCCAAAAACGCCGTTTTTAAAGGCCCCCGGAAGTCAAAATCCGCGCATGCGGAGATTGGACCTACCCGTCAAAAAAAATGAAAGGGAACGAGAGCACCAGAAAGTGATTTTGTTGCGAAAAAAAGGAAAATATTTGAGTAAAGTAATGTTGTCGGGGTGATAACGACTTTCTGAGTGGGCGGCGATTAAATGTCGTAATGCCTTGTAAGACACCCCATCTCTCTGATCAATTTTCATAATTAAGATGTCTAGAATGATCAAAATTCGTTGAGGATTACAGAAATAGCGTTAGAATTTTTAAATTCAAGCGTTTTCACGTCCAAACAGTGGGGGCAAAGATCATGCGGCGCGGTCGCGTTGCGGACGCAACTGGGTACTTGCCAGGAATCAACGCGGGGGGCATGGACCAGATTCGGCGCCCCTTTAAGCTGAAACCCACAATCGGTCATTCGGTCATTGGTCCGACTTCTACATTGCTTTCCCTGCCCAGATTTGAAACTTGATTTTTTGAGAAACTTACACAGCCATCAGGTCGTCGAGTATCTCCGGGTATTCGCGGGTGATTACTGCGAAAGTGCCGCCTGAAAACATCCAAGTGAAAAAAGTCTTTTATTGTGCATTATCGGGGGCGAGGAGAAGTTCCCTTTTTTTCTAGGCATCCCATTTCCAATAAATGAGAAAATGCTTTAAGCCTTTTTGTTTGCTATTTTTAAATTTAAAAACCTTACAAATCTTTTTGAAAATCTAAAAATATGCAGTTTTGACGAGAACCGGCCGTTTTCCAACCGCCACCCCCCCCCCGTTAATGCCAAAGAAAATAAGGAAAATAATTTAGTAGATAGCAGTACGCAATAGTACGCAACAGTACGCCCAAGTAGATAGAACTGTGTTTCACTAATTTGCTGCAATTCGATTGCATGAATTTCGAAATTAGGTGTTTCATGACTGTTTATAATCTCAGATTTTTATGGCGGTCTAGTTCCTCAATGTCCTTCAAAAAAGCTCGAATTAAATGCCATTGTTTTGATTTATTTTTAGCTACTTGCTCATTCATGTTAAAAATCAGATCTTAATTAAAGGGATGCCGACAGCATAGTCAATCGGTTACGCGCGGAAAAGAAAATTTCTCTGCGCCTCACCCCTGGGCGCGCTCTCTCCCCTGTTGGCTACTTGCCAATTTGTTGATGAGGGGGGATCGACACATGCCGTCGGCAGCCCTTTAAATGAACAGGTTTTAATTCAGAATTTATACACTTCGCGATTCATTAAAAAGTTAGCATATTTGTTCAGTTCAAGACATTCATGTTTCAGTGTTGTGCTAAAGAAGGCTCTGCCTATATTAGAGCGCTAAACGTCCTCTTTTATTCAAAAAAAAAATTGGCTTTCAAGACGTCATGTTTCATAACTTTTTAAAATTAATTTTTTACCGATTCAAGGAATTTTATCGCGCACAGGGGGTCCCAGAATAAAAAAAACCCCTCTAACCCGACGCAGAAGTATCGGATCGGATTGATAGTTACAGCATTCGAAAGCCCTTGAAACGGCCAGCTTCCAACAATCTTCAAAACCAGATTTTTAAAAATTCACTATTTTACAGACGCTTTTGTAGCATTTTGCGCGTTTTCGGAGTTGCATACGAGCTAAATTTCCTCAATTTCACTAAACAAAATGACCGAAAATGGCCATTAATTAGATGCAGAAGCCGTTCCTTATGTTTTTAAAGGGTAAAGTCGCGCGTTCAAATAAAAGCCTGTTTTTGAAGATAGTTGCCAACTCACCGTTTCAAGGGCTTTCGAAGGGTGTAACTATCATTCCGATCCGAGACTTCTGCTTCGAATTCGAGGGGGGTGTTTTTTTAATGGGACAGCCTGTACAGTTCGTCTTTCATCAAAAAAATTGTCATAGTTATTCAATTCAGGAGATTAATGTTTCAGAGTTTTGATAACTCTCTGCCTATATTTGAGTGCTAAACTTCCACTTTTATCAAAAACCAGCGCCCAAAACCCGCTTCGCGGGCCTTGGGCGCTGGAATGCGGCCTTTGCATGAAAAGTTTGATTTTCTAATAGCTCGGGTCCTGCGGACCCCCTCCACCCCCCGGCCACACACGCGATTGCAACTGGCAAGAATGAGGAAATCTGTATTTTTTTCACATTATGCAAATTAGCCCTCAGGTACCCACAAAAATGAATAAAATCGGCTTTAACTTTGTAAACATGTATTTTATCGAAATTCTGAAAACGTGATCGGAAACAGAAGGGTCGATTCCCCCAGGTGACGAAAAATCAGAGCTTTTTTATGCACGGGAAGGCCCGCAATTCGGGCCTCGAAAGTGACATCCACACACACACACACACACACACACACACACACACACACACATACGCGTCAAAATTATATAAGGTAGGATTGCACTTTCTAACTTTCATGTTTCATACCATTCTCCAAATTAAATCTATGCCGAACCAAGGAATTTAGCGCATAAATATGCTCATAACTTCCAACCTGCCACGCTGAGCTGGTAATTCGAGGTCAACATCTTTTCGACCTCATTCTCCGCGCCGTCACTCAAATCCACAAAATCGTCCGGATCCGCAGAGACATTCTGAATGGTACTGTAATTGCTGGATAGTTTTTACACTTTTAATCCAGTTAAAATTAACTTTTTAAATTAAAATTATAAATTTCTTTTAAATTTTAGGCATTTTTTTTAGTTTGGTACTTGCATTTTCAAAAAATAAAAAAATACATTAATTGATATTTCTGGAGAGGCAAGAAAAGAGTAGCATGATTGGTTCTTTCGCATTATTGCGGGGGGAGGGTAAGTAGAGTCCCATTCTTTGAATGCCAAGCCAGGAAACCTTTTTAATTCTTAATCGTAAAAGTTGCTAAATTTCCACCAAAAACCCAAAAATGTCGATTGTTCGACACAGATTTATAAAATTTTTAGATCTTTTATAGGTTTTCTTAGTAGATGTACTACTTGAAATATAGCTTGATTTTTCGAAAAAGTTTTTTAAGAACTTTCTATTACGTGATAGCATTATATGGAGCAGAACCCCCCCGATAACGCAACAGAACTGTCGATTCTAGCGATGTGTAATTATAGCCGGTTAAATTTAGAAACGAAATAAACTGCTAGCTGATAATATTTTACGAATAAATTTTACATTTACCGTACCTCCTTTACCGTAAGAACGGTCCGGCCGTCGGGTGTCTTCGAATCTGGGCGATGCTCGAGGAGGTACGCCTGGAAATGTAATTACGTAATTTATTAATTTTTACATTTTATAAATTTAGAGATTTTTAAGGTAGCTGTTTTGTCTGGAGAAATATTATTTTATTATTTATCAAAAGCCTTAATACGTATTTTTCTTAATTTTTACATAGTAAGATTTTTAGAGACTTTGAAGTAACGTTGCTCGATGAAAATTTTGTGTTTCATTGGATGCGGCCAGCGAGTTGCGCTAGTTATTTCCTATTTCCATTTTCTGGTAAAATTTAAATTTTTCAAAATTTTTAAAATTAAATTGTTTCCCAACATACCCTAAGCGGTTTCAACAAAATAGCTCTAATAAAATAATTCCTTCGGAATAGATTAGTAGACATTGGACCGAAAAATTGGTATGTTTCACAGACATGTGGAAGCGACTTTAACGAATCGGGGTGAATACATCCCAATGAAAGCTGATACAAACAATACCCATAAATATTTGTTTCACAGACGTTCCTAAACAGTTTTAAAGGGATGCCCAATCTTTTCGCGGCACAAAAATCAAAAGCCATGCCGCGGGCGGGGGTCGAACCCGGGGCCCTCGTTTTGTAGGCCTGGATGCTATCCATTAGGCCATAGTGGCAAGCCATTGGATGGGATGGGGACGCCAAAAGAGGGGAAGGTTGCCGAATTCTGTGCGGCATTGGGGGCCCATTACCGCACAAAATTCGAGCGTCATTTGTACTGCCCGGAATCCATAACTATATATTTGCCGCCAAAACCTTGTGTATCCCTTTAAGGAATTTCTGATGTCTGTAAAAGCCTGGGGCAAATTTATAGCGCTGTTAAAATTAAAGTTAAATCGGCATTTTGATGAAATAAAAGACCGCAACCAACCAAACGGATTAAAGTTTATATGTAGGCTATGATTACATTAAATAACTCAAGAAAAGAGGTTACATAGCTAAAAGCAATAGGGTAGTCAAAACAATAAAAATGATATGAAATCATGATAAAAATGCATTTAAATACAACGTACGAGACCCACTACTACACGATTTTTAGGCGTGTAGCCGTTAAGAATTCCTTTACAACCTCGCTCGAACTTTAAAGGCCTCTGGAAAGATGGGATTGGTCAAAAAGCAAGAAGGAATGCCCCGGACGGGGGTCGAACCAGGGATGGTCCTCTCCGCAGTCCAACGCGCTACCCCCACACCAAAGGGGCCGATTGGGTGGGGGCGGCGGAGGGGCCCCAAATACCCTCGGGGCGGATTGGTGCGCTTTACTGGGCAACAATTGAAAATAAGGCTATTCATAAATAATAATAACGAAAAATGCTATAGAAAAGCTTGCTAAAGGAAAGCAAAGTACTCCCAGAATTTCCTGGTGTGTTTTATGCCTTTACTGACGATTTTTCAACTAAAGAGCGTCCCAAAAACCTCTTTCCGCTCAGAACATGGCTGTCTTCTATCCAATCAGCCTCAAAATTTTACCAACGATGGGGATGGCTAAAAACTATTTCTATGGAAGTTTCTGGCCCAGAATATCGTCAATCAAAAAAGTTATAGCTATAAATCTGTTTTCTTGAAACCCAGTCAGGGGCTTTGGGGGCCCTTACGCGATGGAAAGCGTGCATGGTATCGCCCCGTCGGTCCCTCACCCCTGGGGACGCCCGGCCATCTTTCCAACGGTCTTTAACAATTTTTTCGCATGCTCCAGCTCTTCTTCAGTCTAAACTCTATTGCAGAATTAATTTTTTGCACGCTCTAGAAAAAGGTGAAACACTTTGTTGTTTCCGGCCATATCTTTAGATCCCAAATGCGATAAACTACCGTATACAAAGCTTACTACGACGATTTTTAGGCCCTTTGCTGTTAAGAAATACTTTATAACGTCGCAGGAACTGTACCAATTTGCCCGAACGCTCGAATTAAATTTGATAGCGACTTCTGTTGCATACATCTCCCAAATTCTAGATTTTATTTTTTCGGAAACTATGGAAAAAGGTGAAACACTTTTGTGTTCTCGCCTTGGGCTATTCCCGGCAAATATGACCCAGTTCTAAAATTTTTTTAGAAAACAGTCCAAGCTTCTTCTTGATTATGGGACCAATTAAATTCTTTTCGTCTTTTAAAAGACTAAAAATAATGGTTAACCGCCAGTTATTTCTCTCGTGATTTTATTCACCTTTTTTTGTCGTAAAATTATCATGTTTCACAGAGCCTCCTTAATAATTTTCACGAATTTTGGTCAATTTGGCTGCCAATAGTGCCTATTCTTGAATCCTAATATTCTTAATAGCAAAATTAAATACTCAATAAGAATTTCGTAAAAAAAGTAAAATAGGTACACATAGGGGAAGATCAAGGGTTTTTTCTACAATAAAATAATTTTGAATATGGTTTTTCGGCTTATAGAAAAGCTCTGTATGTTTTTCGGTCCTTTATTAAATGGCATTTTCAAGATGGTAAAAATAAATCCTTCTCGTTATCCTATGTGCTGCCCATAGTTTTCCACCGTACTTTTTTATACTAGAAAACGTTTATATAACATTTTTTTTTGTTCTGAAAATAATTACATTAGCAGATTTTTCGACACGCTATCGAATTGCACTTGAAAAATCCCACAATATTTTAAAATATTAGAAATAATGATTAACCGCCAGTTATTTCTCTCGTTATTTTTATTTACCCACCAGCGCCCAAAACCCGCTTCGCGGGCCTTGGGCGCTGGAATGCGGCCTTTGCATGAGAAATTTGACTTTCCGATAGCTTGGGTCCTTCGGACCCTTCCCTTCCTCCGACCACACCCGCGCGTGCAACTTGCAAGAATGAGGAAATTTGTATTTTTTTTGGAATTATGCAAAGTAGCCCTCCCTGGCGCCGGACACACACACACACAGAGATACACTCCAAAATTATATAAGGTAGGATTTTTCATCCTATAAATTAGCATGTTTCCCAAAACCTTCTTAATGATTTCCACAAATTTTGGCCAATAATAGAATGGCCGCGATCACATTATTAAACGTAAAATTAAATAATCAATAAACATGCCATATGATGAAATCAAAATATACCTTTCGATCGGATCGTATAATTCCACATTCCCTGGCGACGCTCATCGCCGTCAGCAAGTTGTCCCCCGTCACCATTACGGTGCGAATTCGAGCGCTAGACTTTTCCTAGATGTCACCCTCCCTGTAGAATACCTATTTAACTGGCGGATGACCCCCTTGGTGACGGGCTTCACTCGATTCTCCATCACTACAAGCCCGAGCAGTTCGAGGTCCGCCTCGACGTCTTGGCGTGGGACCTAAATTTGAGAAAATGTATGTTTTGCGCAATAGTATTTTTGGGTTTTGGATTGTAAAATTCAATATTGCGTTCGACAAACATTTGAATTTTATGTGAAGTTAATGTTGCTTATTAATTGTTATTTTGTAATAACATAAAAAAATTTACAAAATCCTACTATATACCAGCGCCCAAAACCCGCTTCGCGGGCCTTGGGCGCTGGAATGCGGCCTTTGCATGAAAAGTTTGACTTTCTGATAGCTCGGGTCCTGCGGACCCCCCCCGCCCCGACCACACGCGCGAGTGCAACTGGCCAGAATGAGGAAGTTTGTATTTTTTCGCATTATGCAAATTAGCCTCGAGGTACCCCCAAAATCAATAAAACCGCCTATAACTTTGTAAACTTGTATTTTATCGTAATTCTGAAAACGCCATCGGAAACAGAAGGGTCGATTCCCCCGGGTGACGGAGAATTAGGGCATTTTATGCACGGGAAGGCCCTCAAATCGGGCCTCGAAAGTGACATCCACACACACACACACACACATACACTCCAAAATTATATAAGGTAGGATAAAAAAATAGTGTCTCTGTGTGTGTATGACACTTTGCATGCAACTTCCGTCAGCATGTCCGGAGGATATCTCAAGAGGGAAGGGGCGTAAGGAGGTGTTTGATACGTCATTAGATGCGTAATGGGCTGTAGATGACTGCACACACATCAGATTTTGTAAAATATGTTGTTTTCGACATTAAAATTAAGTTTTTCGTAAAAATTCGGCCGCCCACTTTGTTAGGAGAAAATTAGTATACGCCGGAAGTTGCAGTAGCCTATATAAAGGCCCCAGGAGCTCATTTTTAATTTTTTTTGTCATCGGAATTGAAGCACAATTATGCAAAATAAAGAACATCATAGGATTAGCCGGGGGCCAGGGTTGAAAAGTTGCGAAGCGGCTTTTCAACCCTGGTTAGAGTTGCTTTTCTAATTTTTTGAAAAATTATGTTTTACCCAAATCCATCGTTCGATTTCTTTTCGGAGGCGACAATGTTGCGAAAAAATTTCCACTATATTTTGGTTATTTTTGTTACTAGTAATCTATTATTTTTACCTTTAGTAAAAACTCAAAATTTTAAGGAAAAATGGTGGAAATTGGAATTGAGAGAATTTTGAGATATGGTGATGAAATCAACCTTCAAATTTTCGAAAATTTAATCGTATTTAAACACGTTAAAATTTCGGCTTAATTTAAAATTTAATTTAATGCAAGTTTCAAAAACGTAATTTTTGGAAAAAAATATGTTTTACTTAAGCTCATTAACGATTTTTTGGTAGAAATCGTAATTTCAAATCACGAGCTGCCCAATTCACCAAAGCTATCCTGCAGGCTAAATCGACCTCTTCTCACGGTATTTCCATTTTTGGTTTTTGCATTTTTATTTATTACATTTTTCGGTTTTATTAGATATCATGTCGTGGAACGTAGTTTTAGAAATATGCAGGCGTGGTAGAAATATTGTATTTCATCCAACTCAATTATTCCGCGACGGTTCTGCCAATCATTCAACGTCGAAGTCTATGCCATTTGCAAGTTTATAAAAAACCTGCCTTTGCAAAAATTATGTTTTATAGAATTCTGTTAATCAATACCCGACAAGTTCATTACTGTTGCCAACGCAAGGTTTTGCTCTTCAATTTCAAAATTCGTAGCAGTTTGCCTGTAGAAATCAGCTGTTTTGTTTTTCGATCTGCGAAATGTTATCCAACGAAAGTAATAAGCCCCAATACTATAGTATAACTTTAACCTGTTAAACTATGCTAAATCTGGTAAAGTCACGGGTTTTTTTGGGTTACGCTCATAAAAACATGTTTCACCAAGAAGTGCCAATCTAGTAGTGTTGGCTTTTTTATTAAATGCCGCTTCGGTTTTTTGGCTCTAAATAAACGAATTCGACTATGAATTCATCTTGTGTTTCATCCAATCAATTCATTTGTTACGGTTTTGCCAATCATTGAACTTCGATGTGTTTGGTGGCATTATTCTTTTAATAAAAACCAGGGTTGAAAAACCGCTTCGCGGCTTTTCAACCCTGGTCCCGTCTTCTTCAATGATATTTTTGACTTTGCATAATTTTCCCGGATTCGGATGACGAAAAATGAAAAATGCTCTTGCCGTCCCTTTATATAGGCTACCGCGACTTCCGGTGCATGCTAATTTGATCCTAACAAATTGGGGTGTCCGATTTTCCATGAAAAACTTAATTTTAATGTCGAAAACATCATATTTTGTAAAATCTAATATGTGTGCGGTCATCTCCAGACCATTACGCAGCTGATGACGTATCGAACATACCCCTAAGTACTTCCCTTCTTGAGATACTACTGGAACACGGTGACGGAAGTTGCATGCAAATGCACACACATACACGCACAGACACTATTTTTTTATGTATAGTAGGATGGGCCTGTGCAAAAATATGTTTTATGGCCTCGTCTTAATAAATAGTCGAAAGATTCATTATTCATAGGCATATTGGCATTCATCATTGGTGTTCTCTTTATAAATCATCCAAAACGCATAGACTTTCATCATGAAATAAATTAACCATATTTCGATGCGTTAGCCAACTAAATAGTAAAGATGCTGGTTTTAGGTTACGCTAATAAAGAAACATGTTCCATCAAAAAGGGCGGATTTATCAGTGTTTGGTTTTTTATTATTCTCGCTTCCTGTCACGCCCTAATTATACGAATTTGAATGTAAATTTACAAACTTTGGTATGTTAAGCACTTTGATAGCGTACCTTTTGCGCCTGGGCAAAGTTGAGATCGAGCCGTCGGCTGGCCACCTGAAAGTGAATATTTCGATCTTACGATTTTTTTGGAAAGTGTGTTTCACATCTACTGGAGAAACTCGTCACCTTAATATCAACAATTTACAGTCGCTAGTCATTATTTTCAAAAGCAACTGCAAATTTCGATATTTCGGGATTTAGCAAAATGCGTCTCATGTTTTTGTCCTAACAAACAAAACATTTTATCGCATCAATTCGTTTAAGATCCGCCGGTTTTTCAACTACTTGTAAAACGAAACTAAGAATAGACTCTGCTGCCAAAGTTTTTATCAGGAGCAGTTTAAAAATGAGATGAATTACAGCGGCGTACACCGGAACGATAGGTCGATCGAAAAGGTGGATTTCATGAAAAACAACTCGATGTTTCGTTTTTCACTAGGAACTTTTCGCCTTCGATAATCTTAATGATGTATGAGGTTGATAATGATAATTTCTTAATCAGCGAGTAATTTTGGCAACCTAGTCGACACCGATTATAGCTTGGAGATTAAAGGAGCATGGAAGTCGTTGATTCCTGGAAACGCGCCAGATACAACGCAGACCGCGCCGCTTACTCTTTTGACCCTACTTGGGCGTGAAAGTGCGTGAATTTCAAAATTCGGAAGCCATTTCTGGAATCCTCAGGAGTTTCAGATAATCCTAGCTTTTGAATTTTTAAAAATTGAGCGAGTAATCACCAAGATTTGAGCGCTTCACGAGACATTACGACATATAATGTCGCCTAAAATTCAGAACGTGTGAAAAACGGCAAAAATGTTTCATAAACTGTGAAATTGCAAACAATTTGTTTTGGGATGGTGTAGCCGAATGATTTTCCGCAAACTAAACATGTTTCATAATTCTATCAAACTCAAAAAATTGGTTTTTGGGTGGTTCGTGACTCCTCTGCATTCTCTTACCGAAATAAGACGATAGCCATGCTGGGCGTATTTGTTGACGTGATCCAAATAATCTGCGGGTACGGTAGCCGGATCGCAAAGTGAGAGGATCATCTCCGGGGAGCCCTAAATGTAAAGATAAATAGATTAAAACTAAGCAAGTAAGTAAAAATTCTTATTTATATGTTCAATACACAGGGCCCGAGAAAAATTCAAAGTTATCAATCCATTAATTAGATAGATTTGTTATTATTTATTTATTAAATAATTTAATGTTATTTTATAATGCACGCAATAATATTGATATCGGTGAAATAGAGCAGTTTCCAAGACATAGTAAAATTAATCTACGATCGCGTTTCACATCAATTTATGAAACTCGACTTTTAAAAAATCATGTTTCAGGAAAACCAATTGTGTGATCCCGAAACCGAGTTAATCTGCGACGGTTTCGCCACCAGCTAATTCTACAATTTTGATGCTTTATTAAGAACGAGAAGCAACAAAGTCAATTTGATTATTTATAACATTAATGGACAACCTCAAAGAGATGCTTTACAGTAAAATATAAACTTAATTTTTCAAAACAAAAATAAGTCGAATTAAGTACAAATTTAATGTTGCATCGTAAGGTCCCGTAGGACATTTTCGAAATTCTGTAATTCCGACGGCAGAACGTTTGAGTGGAAACTTGGGCAATCGCTAGTAAATATAAGAAATCGGCCGAATTACGCGTCTAATAGTAAAAATGATGCAAGAGCACAATTAATTTCAGTGGCATACACTATTCTCGTATTTTTTTATGAAACTCCTTTTTGCTATAAGAATTTCTATTTTTAATCTTTAGTGGCAGGAAGCTCAAATTAACCATACCCAAGGTTTTTCGATAGGTTTTTGCCTTATTTTTAGGAGAACAATACCGATTCCTTTTAGTTGTTAAATCATTCATAGGAAAATCTGGTTGAAGTTATCACGAATTGACAGGGTCGTGGCACGAGTGAAATCCACAAAGAATTTCGGCGATGGTCGTGCCCCTTTTCGGAAACACATATTTTTTTCACTTTGAGTTCTATCTAGAAGCTGGACGCTCTAGAGTCAGATTTCGGAATTTATTAAACTATTACACCTTGGGAGGAATGGCTACCCACCATTAATTCTAAAATCATCCTACTTTATATAAAAAAATAGTGTCTGTGTGTGTCCGTGCCACTTTGCATGCAACTTCCGTCAGCGTGTTCCAGCAGTATCTCAATAAGGGGGGTCAGTTAGAGGCATGTATTATACCTCATTAGGTGCGTAATGGCCTTAGGATAACTGCACAATAACAAAATTATCAAAAATTATGTGTTTTCGACGTTAAAATTAAGTTTTTGTCGAAAAATCCAGGACCCTCTTTGTTAGGAAACAATTAGCTTACGCCAGATGTTGCGGTTGCCTATATAAGGGAAGAGAGCTAGCGTTTCTCATTTTTTGTCATCGAAAATCGCGAGAATTATGCAAAGTGAAGAATATCATGGGATCAGACGGGGCCAGGGTTGAAAAGTCGCGAAGCGGCTTTTCAACCCTGGTTACTTCTAAAAGTCGTTACTTCTAAAATTCTAAGCCTCGTTTTGGGCATAAATATGGCCAAACGTGCCGAAAAACCGGTAATCCGGCGTACCAAATTTTAGAAGTAACGTTTTTAGAAGTAATGATTTTTAGAAGTAAGTTTTAGAAGTAATGGTCGTACCCCGGGACGAATAATAATAGACCTATTTTCTTTTTAAAGATATTTTCATTTTTCCGAGCAGAAAAACGAAGAAACGAAAAAGTGAGCAACATTATAATTAATCATTAATTCCATTTACTATCAATTCGTGAAACCTGATTTTTTTTAAATATTGTGTTTCTGAAAAATTGATTGTTCGCGATCCCGAAATTAAACCAATTTGTAGCAGTTAGGCGAAGAGCCAGTACTTCAGTTATCCAGCAGCGCCGTTTTACGGATAAAAAATGCTTTTCGATTATCATAAAGTTATGACATAAAAGAATATAAGCCATACCTTGCAATAAATCGTCATTTCGTGCTGGCTGACGGCGTTCGGTGATCCGACAATCACCGACATTCGCTGCAGTGCCGAGCTGAACTTTTTTTTCATAGGTATTGAATTTTTATTAGGTATATTATTAGGTCGAAAACTGTTGATTATTAATTCTGCGGAAGCAGCGCTCGAATTGGCCAGATCTGTCTTTAAGCCAAGGCAAATTTTTTTTGAAACATTGATTTTCTTTCTACATTTTTCCAGGATCCTTTGCTTTTTAATTTGGAAGTATGAAAAACCGATTATAAGTATCAAAAACTTGAAAATAGATGATTGATGATGGCTTAATACTAATCGATTTAAGAAAAAATTGTTTTAATTTTTCGCAAGCATCTTGGTCTTGAACTGTCTTGAACTGAAACTGAAAGGGGTGACACTTTTCTGAAACATCTATTGGTTGATATTATGGATACCATAGGAGTATACAACCTTATTCTAAGTATTAACAACATTAAAAATAGGCACTTTCTATAGGGAATATTGAGTGTTCTTTGCTTTGGTAGAATGGGAGGAATCGGAGCAATGAAAAATTAACGTTGTAACATTCCGGACATATTATTCCGAAGAATTTATTTTTAATTTTCGTTTTTTTTCAACCAGTTCTCGTCTGTCAAAATGGAATATCATTTTTGGTTTCTAATCTAGAAGCATACAACCCTAATAAGTGCTAAAAATGTGATTTTTGTTATTGGCATATTTGGTTCAGGGTTTTTGTGGAAGGTAATAAATTTAAGCTAGTGAAAGTGGATTACATAACAGCCGATGATTTGTTAGTCACTACATATTTGAAACTTTCAATTTTTATTTTAATCATTAAAAGAATTTTTGTTTTCGCTTTAGTTAGTAAGTAGACAGTTTTTAATCATTTAATTTTGTATTTAATTTAGGTTTTGGCCGATTTCAATTAACCTGAAAGTAAACTGCCGGACGACGGCAAACTCGTCAGCCCCATAGAAATCGCGGTCGTTTTGTGGGGGTCTGACAACGGTCGGTTGCACCTGATCGAATTGACTCGTCTCTTCTTCGGCACTGAAAATATATGTTTCGTAAATTTATATTTCATATATCTATTTTTATGCGGCTATTTAAGTATTAATCTGTATTTATTTGCATTTTTTCGCCATATATTCAAAAATCGACATTTTTTGTCCTTTCTTAATCCAAAATTGAAAAATTTTTACGTGTAGGAAGAGTAAAAACAGCCTAGAAACACTTGTTCTATTGTATTAGTAGAATTGGACCTTTAGAAAGATCGGTTCCCCCGCCCCCCCCCCCCCGATAATGCGATAGAACCAAAAGTAATCGATTCCGCAACGAAAAACACAATTTGCGCGTTCTGTGTCGCTGTGTGGGCGCCTTGAGAATTTCGAGAAAAAATATTAAGAAGATCCCAGAAAACGTAACCCAGAAAAATTATCAACGGAAAAGGTGTTTCAGAATTTCCTAAAAATCGTTGCAGATCAAACTCAGTGATTTGCAGTAGCTTTGAAGTTTTTCTAATGAGCCTACCTTCCACTTAATTATATAAACCATTACGATAATCTTTTATTTTACACTGCTCTGGCGTATCAAAATCACCTATAACGTTGCATGCAACGCAAGCAAGCACCAGAAAGTTTTTTAATCTTTGGATTCTTGCAAAAAAATGTTTTAAAAGTGGCCAAAATCAATCACGAGTTTTATAGTTTCAATGGCGTTTCAACCTTGTGCTAACTTCCTCAAAAGGAAACTACTAAAAAACTTGCCCTGCCAAGCCCTGAAAGTTAATTCTTGAATCATTTGGTTATGACTTTGACTAAAAAAATTAAAATGCTTCATATACAGGGTGTCCATAAAAAAGCACCCCTCCCGCATTTCGTCATATTACATCCGATCGATCCCAAAATTGGACCAGAGGTGTATCAGACCCTAAATAACCACAATCCTGAGTTATAGCCCGCCAGCTACAGTAATCTTCGAGATACAGCAAAAATAAACTTTTTTATCGGTTTTTCATAAGGTTTTCGTCGGAATTGACCCTTCGAATATTAAGTGAAAATGAAGCTGCAGGCCTTCTTTACCCCTAGAAATTTTTTTCTGATAAAAATTAATTGAATAACCGTTGTTTTCAACAATTTTGTAACCCAAAGTCACCCCCCCGATATTAGGCGAACTTAGGGATTCGTAGCCGGAAGTCGATGCAAATCGATGCAAAGTCCAAAAAGATAGCCGAAAAAACTGTTAAAAATCGCGTAAAAAAGAGTATTTTGACGATAACTCGAAAACTACTGTAGCGATCGGGCTATAGCTCAGGATTGTGGTTATTTAGGGTATGATACACCCTTGTGCCAAGTATGGGACCGATCGGATGTGATATGGCGAAATGCCGGAGGGGTGCTTTTTTTTGGGACACCCTGTATAATCTTTGTCGGACCGTGGCTGGAAGCGAAACTGCCGCTACTCCTCACTTCTTGCGATCCTTTTTATTACGTGATGTTTTATTTTTGATTATTACCTTTGATTTCCCTCATCGAGCGTCCAATGCGTCTGATTAAAAACGATCAAATCAAGCGGATCTCCCTGTAGCACGCCTTCGATTCTGAAAAATTTTTGCTTCTTCTCTCTTGGAAAAAATGTTTCGAAAAATCTGCAAGACGAGAGGGCGGCAAGATTTGTATTGGGTGCTCGGCAAAGCATGAATAATTGAAATACGGAAATTATCGAATTAGGAAAAAAAAAGAAATAAAAAAAGGAAATTACCCCATCGTAACTTCAAAAATCAGCTAGCTATTGAATTCTATTGCTTTCGCGCTGTCAAATCTATATTTTACTTCATTTTGGAATTTTTTTCAAGAAAAATATAGACGCAAAACTTTAGAAAAAATAAAAAATTAAGAACGGCTAAGATTCCATTTATTTAGAAAGGTACTTTCATAAAATGTCATTTACAGATGGAAATCAGGTATAATAGCGCTGCGGCTCCCATGGATAAAATGCGATACCTCTAGTTTATTTTGGAATAGCGACAACAAGTAAGTCGATCCCAAAACTTTGTCAAATTCTAATTTAACTGTTTCCGAAAAAAATAGGTTTTTCTCACTTTACCTGCTGCACAATCCCGCAACCTTCAGGTCAGCCAACAGAAACATATCTTTTAATGTCGTTATTATGACATCTTGTCTTGCTTATAGAACTATAAACCCATAATCGTTAAAAATTTGAAACGGTTTGCTTCAGAGAACTTTTCCAATAATTGACCAGTGACCCAGCAGAGTGATGCATAAAAACTTTGAAACTCTCGCATTTAATTTTTGAGTTTCATCCATTGTCGATATGAAAATTTTCGTCGGCACTTCAATCCGCGGTTTTTGGCTTGATTTACTGTTTTTTTGGTCTAACTTAATTAATGAAGTAAACCGTAAAACAATAATAATAATTAATAGTATACTTTTAAACAGCAGTAAGTTTATATTCCGCTATAGAGGAGTTTATTGAAGGTGTTTTTTCGACGCATCCATTTTAACACGCCCGAAACACGATTAAAGACTTGTGTTTTTAAACATATGCTAAACCATTTAAAACACATATTTATAAAATAAATCCGGCCCCGGATGCCATGATACTCAGAGTGCCGGAATTTTGTAATGTCACAATTTTTGTAATGCTACGTTTTTTACGAAGAATTTGGTTTCTCCCAGGATATTATACTTCACTTTCGACATTAAGGAATTTGACATTTAAAAATAATCTAATCATTTTAAAACAATTTTAAATTCCCACCTAGTAAGCGAATGGCACGCGGCGATGGCCTTGATGATTTCGGCATTGTTTGGCATCTTGCTTGGCACCAGCGCGGCCGTCTCCTCCCCGAATTCGGCACGTTTTCTGGACTAAAAAAATTAATAAAGTTTTTCATTTCAAAACTTTTTGGCAAAATTTAGAATTTTAGTACTAGAAAAAACATTCGGTGCAACTTTTTAAACCAATTAATTTTAATATCGGATGTTAGCATTTATTTGCAAAGTTAAAATGTTTCATGGTTCATGGGCTATCCCAAAACTTCGGCCAAGACAATGAATTAAACAAATGACGATCCTTCTCTCGCGTTTAATTTGGCGGTTAGAGTGCAGTTTACCCCCGGCCGACACCCAACTTTTGTATCTCGGCTCCCTGTTCATCTACCGGTGTCTAAAGTATCCCAAAATGTTCGTCTTGCTCTGGCGAGTATTTTGGTATACTTTACACACCTGTAGATGAACAGGGAGCCGAGATACGGTAGGTGGGGGTCGGCTGGGGGTGGGGGGGTAAACTGCATTTAAGCCAATTTGGCAAATAATTGTTATCTAGTTTTCTTAACACTGAGAATTTCAATTTTTTAAAATCCCAATTTAGGCGAGCATTACAGGGATTTCCGAGAAATCATCCTAAGGCATTAACTTTTTGAAACCCGTTTTTTTGCGAAGGTAATAACGTACATTGGATGGCGGGTGGACAGGTCGTAGCGTCTGAAAATCGAGCCCATCCTCCGTGAGCGTGCCCGTCTTGTCGAAGCAGCACTAGAAATAGAAAATACTTGTGTTAAATAAATAGGCATATGTATAAAAAAGTATTAAAACAAATATCCTACTTGATATTTCCACTCAAACATTATAAGCAATTTATTCCACCTCGGAATTTGGTACTATTGCTCCGAGAGGCATTTTTCCGATAACAGACGGCGGTGAAACATTTTTTTTTACGTGTTACATCTCATATTTTTTTCTTTGGTTTTTCCCACATTACCTTAATAGATAATCCAGAATTAAACAAATTAAAAAATTAAAATTTCAAGCTAAGTATATCTGTCAGTAATATTCTTATACAAAAATTTTAGAAGAAGAATAATTATTTTTCAAGGCTACGAAGCTCCACACTAGCTGCCTTGGATTAAGCAAATATCAAGCAGCCCCACATCCGGCAATTCGGAAACATTTTTTCGACACGTTGCGTCATAAATCTTTGTATTTTAGCATTTATCAAAAAACGAGCACGTCAATAGCGTGAAATAATCGTTAACACGTGTGTTTTTTTACAAAAATTACAATTTCTGATTTTCTTTTCTGGAAGGCCGACCGCAATTTTTTTGAAGGTTTTTTAAGAAAAGGCAACTTTAATAGCGCTTAAGCCAATTAAATCGAGTTTTGGAAAAAAGCGTAAATTTGAAAAATTGTACTTGTAAATTGTACTGTATTTAAGTTATAACGTAGCCCCTTACCGCATTAATAGCACCACAAGTATTGATCACCGACGGCGAAATGCAATAAATATCCTTCTTTCGCAACCGCCCATTCGCGTTGATGATTCCCACGGACATCGCAGCTGTAAGCATAATTTTTAATTTAATTTTAATGTTTGATGACTGAACATTTACATAAAGTTTGTCTTTTACTTAAAGCGCATGTTCAGGGAGGGGCCGTGTACTCGTCCCAACGTGTACACCCTATGGACGTAGGGACCGCGCGCGCTGCCTGCCCGTGCTGTGACAGGCCATTCACCTCCTTTGCGGCGTGGGGCGCCCCTCACCCTTCGCCAGGTTGTAGCTGTGGCTGACTGGTATCCATTCGCGCCTCCCGAGCGGGCGGCCCGGGCTCAACCCCCGGATGCGGCAAAAATCGTTGTTTTTTTCCAAATAAACGTCCCTGAACGTGCCCTTCAATCACGCGTTACATTATTATCGCATTTTGCATTCTTTTAGCCATACACACATTTGAAACATTAATATTCGGTACATCATAATTGATAAACTTACGTCTTGACGTAAAAAACTGCAAACAAAACTTTTCCATAATTTTTATAGATAAAACTCATCTATTTAAAATCACATCTAAAATTTAAAATTTTTAATTTTGTAACTAAATTTAAACTTTTGAATTTGGCCCAACGAAACTTTATTATACTACTTTGTCAGCAAAGAAATTCGAATTAAATATGAAACATGTTCGAGCAGAAGACGTGGCGATTATCATTTTTGACACGATTATTTAATTGGATCCAATATAAACAAAATTTGTTTTTATCAATAGCACACATATTTTTTCCACTTACTTAACTTTTTAAAACACGTTTTTTTATTTATCCTTGCAATCAATTGAATTAAAAGACCTTTAAGCTGCGAATTAAACTTGTATTTACAAAATACACGGTTTAAAAAATGATCAAAGCCTACCCGGTAAAGCTGGCGGTACAACGCACGTGATCAAGTCGAGCGACCGGATCAGCGTCTTTTTCCAGGCCGCCTGAAAAATATATGTTTCAAAAACCAATTAAGGTTGTAAAATATTTATGGCCTTACTCCACGGCTATGGGACGATGATAAATGCCAAAGACGGTCGGAAATGGTAGCAAATAATTTTGAGCAATTTGGCAGGCTGTAAAAATGGATTGTATTTAAGCTAAAATTAGATAAAAACATGCAAACGAAATTGCTTGGATCCACAGGATATCCCAATAAAAACACCCGCTTTAACACGACGCAGAAGTATCAGATAAGAATGATCGTTACACGAATCGAAAGCCCTTGATACGGCCAGTTTGCAACAATCTTCAAAACCATGCTTTTATTTGAACGCGCGATCGGGTCGGTTTTTCGGGGTTGCATACGAGCTAATTTGCCCCAATTTCTCCAAATGACTGGAAGGAACCGTTAATTAGATGCAGAGGCCTTCCTTAATGTTTTAAAAGCGTTGTAAAAATACACGTTTCAATAAAAACACTGTTTCCATGACACTTCTATGCAAACTAGCCGTTTCACGGGCTTTCGAAAGGGGTAACTATCATTCCGAGCCGATACTTTGCGTCAAGTTAGAGGCGGGCGTTTTTACTGGGCCACCAATCGTAGATCAACATATTTCTAGACGAGACCAGGTTGTATTTAAGATAAAAATCAATCTAATTTGAAAACGGAGTGGCTAGAAATCTTCCCTCGCCGGCGGCGAAAAATGATGTTTTACGAACAATTAAGGAACTGACAAACGACCTTAAAATATTGTGAAAGTGAGTGAGAGTCTTCTAAAACTGAAAATTTCTTTTTTTATTGAAATCTGCTTCAATTCAGAATTTTCTAAAAATACTGGACTGCTATCATTTAGAAAACGCAAGCTAGCAGAGACAATTGCGGAAACCCGAAGCAAGCTGGAAGCCCCCAAATATAACGCAAATATTCTTTCGAAAATGAAGTTTCACGGCAAGTTTAGAATCAAACATCTCCTTTATCTGGTAATGAGAAGTTATCAATTATCCAAAATTTGAATTAGCTAAAATAGAAAAGTACAAAATAAATTGAGTAACCAATAATAGAAAGGCAAAAAAAAAACATAACAAAATGCTTCAGACAATTTTAAGGAATATATCGATCTAGCTATATTAATTCGCTGCAGCTCCATTTCCCTTCAATTTTTTCTCTCAACGGAAGGTTGCGAAATGGAAATTCAAAACTTCAATAAAAAAACAATTGGTATGAGCCGGTTTCTGGCCCTCGCCATATTTTCGCGGGATATTAGCGGTGCCCCTTCAAACAGACCAATGCCAAAAACCTAACAAAAATAGCCTAAAAAATAGAAATAAATACTATAACTCTACTAGTGGCAAAATTGACAAAAGTCAATTTTTAAAATGGAAAAATGAAATTACGAATAATGACTAATTTTCAAAACCATGTTTCAAGTCTTGGGCAAGTATTAGCGAGAAAATTTTGCCAAGCGTCAAGAAGATCCACCCCGCAAAATTTTAATGTTTCGTCTAGGATAAATGTCGAAACCTGAGGATAAATGTCAAGGCAATTCACGAATAAAAAATAAATTAAAGGGCTAGTTCAACTTTTAGAGCTTGGGCTGGTACTTTGGGATACAATGGACGTAGGCACAGTGCGCCCGAACAGTCCCCCATTACGACAGCGATTAGAGATCGGGGAAATGAGAGAGGCGCAGACACAAAAACGCAGAGAGGGTTCGACTCCGGGCCGCGGAAATTCTTTTGTTTTATTGGCTGAACTAGCCCTTTAAAAACCCAAAATTCAAACCCCACGTGGTAGTGGATCATCATGCCGAGCGTGTAGGCGAATCCAACCGATGCGATGCAACATAAGAAGCCGACAAACTAAAAAATTAAATTCGTGTATGTTTTGCGGAAAACCACAAACTACAAAAATCAAGACCGTAATGAGTATTTTAATGTAGGTAATAGGTAAAGCTAGAAAATATTTTAAGCTTTCAAGCTTTCAAAAAGGCGAGAAAAAAGTATTATTTAAGTTTAAAATTATTTTGCTTCATTTACGCAGGATTTTTTAAATTTTACCAGCTTTTAAGTTATTTAAATAGGCCTTTTTCATTGTTTTGCAATTTTAAAATGTATTGATTTTTAAACGGGTTGAGACAGTGGCTAAATAAATGCTAATAAATTTTATAAAACCAATGTATCAGCTTAGTGCTTTTCCCGGGGCCTCCCAATCGTCTCAATAAAATTGGCATGCAACCATCCGATTTTTTTTGCAAAAATGTTGTTTAAATAGATTTTCTTTCTTAATAATATAATTATTAATAAGAATATTGAATATTAACCAATCGATATTTTTATTAATAATAAAAACACACCCTCAGCAGATCCCTGTTAAATTCGATGTCGACCGGTTTCGGGTACATGATGGATCTGTAAGAAAATCGTATTCTAACAAAGTATCATCACGCTATCTAGGAAGAAATTACAACATTTAACTTACAAATAAATGAAACAACTTTTTTTAAACCCCGGCGCGTAGTAATTTTTCGTATTTAGTCACCTAATAAATATTTATATCTTGTTTCTGTATAGTGTAAAAATAGTGCCATGGTTTTCAAAAATTACCTAAAATACGTAAAAACATAAATTGAATAGATTGCTGTCCGGGAAACTGCATTGCTCTAAAAATTTAGGACTATACCCTTTTTCTACGAGAAACATGCTACTTTTGGTGAATTTTTTGCAAAATTGGTACTGCTAAAAGCACCAATAATAAATTTGTTTTAAAGATCGCATTTTTTTTAAATTTAAACAATGAAAGATAAATGAATCTAAATAATCAAAATTCTCACCTGACAAGCTGGCCCTTGGTCGTGGAAAACGCCGTCCGAATGACCATCGCCCGCACGTGATGCCCGCCGTAGAAACGCGTTTGCAGCACCTTTAAAGTCATTTTTGATTTTGATTAAGCTATAATTTACTTTTGCATCTAATATAATAAAATTAAGTAACATAGATAATCGTTTAAATTGCTGAAACTAAGAAAAAACTGAGGAAGCATTGGGGTGTTAATTTGAAACACTGAATGCGGAACTAATGTTCGCGATTGTAAACTGACGTATTGCAATTTCGGTGAAACACCTCATTTATGTGATATTTTACGTAAAATTCTGGCGACATTTTATGCTTTCTTTAGATTTAAATAAATTTCAAAACTGATTTTTCGGGAAGATTTGTTAAGCAAAAACAGTTTCAGAAAAATTCACTAGGCAACCGATTGGCATTGAAATAATCAAGGCACGGACGTGTTTTAAAAATATTAAAACCTCAAAAATTAATGAATAGTGGTTTCTAATTCAATGGAATTTTCACCAGCCTATTTTTAGCATCTTAACTTTCTAATAATTTTATAATTTTTTCAGACAGGTATCGAATTCGAAAAATAGCTGGCATTTGGCAGTGTCGTTTTAAAGTTAATTAAATTATATTGGCCTATTGCATGCCTACTCTGATTTAGTTTTAATATAAATTAGAATATGAAAAACCATTTTACAAACCTGGGTTCCGCAGAACAAGATATGTTTCGAGTGTTTCTCAAAATCGAATCGCACATCCCCGGTCGTATTGTCTTCGTCGATGCCCGTCATGGCCACCTGGAAAGAATACCGAAATAATTATTTTATAAATAGAAATTCAATTAAAAAATTTTTTTTAATTTTATTTAAATTTTTTAAATTATTGATTAGTAAAATTAGCAAGATTAATAAAGTCCGCAATATAAATTTTTAGAATGAAGAATCTCACTCAGGCCCATTCTAACGAAAAGTTCTCCCAAAGCATTGTGAAAAGCTGGAACATATTTTTTGCTTTTCAAGAACTGTTTGACGTTGATGGCATTTTAAAGGGTCCATGAAGGTATGACTATGGATCTGCTCAGCTACCGATTGTGTATTGTGATAATTTTGACCGCGTCCGCGACAGGCAATGCGTCGCGGAATTTCCATGGCGTAATGGACTAGAGCTTGTTAACGGAGGCCCGGTGGCGTGCGCGTTGCGTGGCGCGGGGAGGGCCAGAAACTTTCGAGAAACCTCCCAAAAAGAATCTGGATAAAATAATATAAAAATTGTAAGGGTTAGGTAAAAAATTATACTCTATTGATTTTGCGCCAAAACAGCTAAAAACCCGAAATAAAATCTCCCGCTTTTTTAAAAGAGATGTGGACAAAGGGAGCGGAGCCGTTCACTTACCGAAAAAAAAATCCACATACTAAAATAAAAATAAAGCATTTTACCAGCATGAATCGTGAAACATTAATTTGCGTCGGTGGTGTGCTTATTAATCCTTCGTTACTCCCTTTTTCTTATCTAAACTGGCCTACAATCTTACTAAACGTAAAAACTTTACAATTTTTTTCTTCAAAAATACAAATTTTGCCAAAATTACCGATAAAAATTTTATCGAAATTCAGTTCAATCAAAATTCAATTCAAAGTATTTTCTTATTTTTTTAAGTTTTTTTTTTTTGGCTTGACATCTGGTAATAGCCTACCAAAAAACTATTAGAATCTTTTAGATTAATTACAGGGGATTTTTGGGCTCATAGCTAGAAAAAAAGTTGGTTCCCCCGATAATGAAATAGAACCAAATATGTTTTCTTCTAAACAATTAAAATACTGCAAGTTCAGAAAAGGGCTAAGTCTCGGCAATTATTGCCATGTCCGCGAAATCTGTGACGAAAACTAGTGAAACACTCACTTTCGTGACTGGTACACTCTCCCCGGTCAGCATGCTCTCATTCACGATTACGGTACCCGTCATGAGGATCGCGTCGCAGTGCATTACTCCGCCAAGTTTTGGGATGACGATGATGTCGCCGGGGACCACCTGAAAAGTATATTTACTTTTTGAATCTGACTTTTGCCAGAAAAGTAATGGTTCGAATTTGAGCGTCGTCCCGTGCCTTTATGGTTTTCCAATGAAAGGTAGTCTTGAAGCTCAAATCATATTTAAAGGTAGCAAGAAAAGCATGAATTTTAGCTAACCCGACACGCGACGCGCACGCACGCTTTTCCATTGCGTTGCTGAGATTTATGATTTTATTTATTTGCTTATTTTGGTAGAAAAATAATGTCTCAACTCCCGGTATAGTCCGCTATTTTATTGGCCTCCCAATATCCATTGGATCAGATGTACAACGAAGACAAAAAGAGAAAAAAATGGCGCGAATTTCGGGGTCCGCTATATGCGACGCGCACGCACGTCTTTCCATTGCGTAATCGATGCGGGATGCGGGAGCAATTTGGTGATTTTTTTACTCTTCGGAACAAAAATAATGTTTCAAGTCCCGGGATAGTCCGCATTTAATGGGCTTCCAACATCTATTTCGTGTGATCCCGTAACACTGATTGAAGGGAAAACAAACGCGAGAATTTGCCGCACCCGCTATACGCGTCGCGCACACACGTGTTCCATTGCGTAATCGATAAGAAAAAAATAGTTTTGAATTTATGCATTTTACTTTTCTCGAAAAAAGAATGTTTTAAGCGAAGGCCAAATTTTGCGCTTCAAATTTTCTTGATTAGGTAAAAAAAATCAGTGGCGTGCTTTATTTTTTGTAGGAGAATTATGTTTCGTTTTAGTGCACCTTTCCGCATTTTTCATTGTCGCTCAGTGACCAATTGATCGCCCGGGGGAACACCGATTTAAAGGGACAAAAACGGCGCGAATTTAACTTGGTTTGGAAACGCGTCCTCGAACAATCTGCCGACACGGCAAAAAAATCAGTTATGTTCTCAAAATTTCGGTATAAAAATTATGTTACGTATTCGGCTATCGTCTCGCCTTTAATGGCGTTTTAATGTCATTCGTGGTTTTTTCCTTCTCTAAAATCTATTTAAAGAGACAAAAAAGATGCTTGAATTTAAACAAGCCCGCGATACGCGATTCTGGAGGAATGTGATGTTTCGATTTTAGGCCAAATTCTGCGCTTCAAAAACCCTTCACCTGTTAACGGCTTTGTGGCTTTAAAACCCATTCTCAATTAAAAGCCCCTCCACGATACGCGACGCGCACGCTGGGTCTTCCCCCAAATTATCGCTTTTCTTTGAATTTTATTCTAGAAAACTGATGTTTCGACTCTGGGCAAGGTACAACGCTTTTAATGGCGCTACAATCACACCCTTCCGGATGAGCAACTTTCAAAACATGAGAAAATCGCTGCTCTAACAGCGCCGTCGGCGAAAAAAACTTATAAAAAAAGCGTTCGTAACGCTCAAATTCACGTGAAACATCACAAAATAGGCGCCGACGGCGAAAAATTTTTTTGAAAAATAGGCTTCATTGAAATAAAAACCGTCTTAAAAACAGCAATAAACAGCGCCGCCAGCCGAAAAATTTTTTATAAAAAACCCATAAGGGTAAACCTTATGAACCTTTCGGCCTTCGACCGATTTTGGGGTGGGGGAGGGCAACTTGCCCCTGTTCCCCCCTTCCCCCCGTACGCCCCTGGACGTGCATCCATGGACAGAGTTTCCATGCCGCGACACTCAAAGCACACACTTAGAGAAAAAGCATGTTTCGTATCCGTGCTGCTTCCGCGCTTCTAATGGGTGTCCAATGGTGCGATGATTTTTTCAGCTAAACCTGTTTAAAGGCACAACGAGGGCCTGAGAATGGCCATGTGCACTAAATACGCTCCTACGGTTTTTCAAGATCCCGTTTAGCTACTTACGATTATCAAGACCAAGTTTTCGTGCGTAACCCCTTCTTTGAGCCTTTTTGGGCCTAGAGCATCAGCTATTGAATATTGCGCTCTTAAGGACGTCAAAAGGCTCCGAAAACGTGCACGTTCTGCCCAAAAAATCATTGTGGTGCAATTGGTTGCAGTTGCTAAATCACGAACCACGAAGTTCGCAAAACCTATTTTTTTTCTGATATTTATTGTTTCTATTTTTATTTTTTTCTGAGTTTTATCGATTTTTCTTTTTTTTTTTGGTAAAAAGCGTGCATCTGCTTGTCACGCGACGAGCAAGCGGATGCTCGGTTGAAAAGCGGATAAAAATGCGCAATTGTATCACGTGCTAACAAGGAGATGGTCTCAGCTCGGAATCGAATTCGGATTTGAAAATTTGCACACTTATAGAGCTCGACGAGACAAATCGATTGGTGTAACTTTCAGCTGCTGATACAATAACCACGCCGAGTTATAAGCATTTTAAGTTTTTGCATACATTTTGCATTTTTTGGGCCATAGCTTCATAGGCCTTCCCCGCCACCCCATCACCATGGTCTGGTGGCCTAGTGGTGTAGTAGGCGTCCTCCGGGGAATCTAACGAGGGTTCGAACCCGCCCACGATTTTTATTTTTTGCTTTTTCGTCCGAAGGTTCCTCTTTGCTTTCTAAGAACCTTGCATAGCTTTTTACGCATTATTTTAACTCCTCTGGTGCGAAATTGCTAAAAAACATCTCTTCGAAAAAATTTAGATTTTTTTTACCCGAAATGACTGTGCCGGTCCCAAAATAAATTGAAAATTCAAAGCATATCAAAAATCGTGGAGTAAACGTAAATTTGGTAAATGGTGTGTTATCCGAACAAAAACTTTCATCCGCGAAAATTTTTTGGAAATGGTAGTCATAGGTCGGAAAAGGGCTCGATGCCCAGCAAGAAAAATTTTTGCGGTGAAGTTCGATGTTGTCGGCGCATCAGTGGGAGGAAAAATAATGCGTAAAAAGCTATGCAAGGTTCTCAGAAAGCAAAGAGGAACCTTCGGACGAAAAAGCAAAAAATAAAAATCGTGGGCGGGTTCGAACCCTCGTTAGATTCCCCGGAGGACGCCTACTACACCACTAGGCCACCAGACCATGGTGATGGGGTGGCGGGGAAGGCCTATGAAGCTATGGCCCAAAAAATGCAAAATGTATGCAAAAACTTAAAATGCTTATAACTCGGCGTGGTTATTGTATCAGCAGCTGAAAGTTACACCAATCGATTTGTCTCGTCGAGCTCTATAAGTGTGCAAATTTTCAAATCCGTATTCGATTCCGAGCTGAGACCATCTCCTTGTAAGCCTTCAGCAAAATTATGTTTCGGATTTTATGCCTAGTTCCGCGCTTCTAATCTCAATGCTAACTTGCCGTACAACGCCTTCTGTTCAAACTATTTTATAAATTCAAAGGCCCAAAAGCCAAACTCAGCCGTCAAAGCCAAAGTCGAAAATCTTTAACCGCTATTATTTAATTTTCCGCAGACAGATGTGTTTCGATTTTTGTTCCCGTTGGGCTCTTTAACAGCGGCCTAATAGCAGGTAGTTTGTTGTGCACAAACCTATTTAAAGGCGCATCCCTTGCTTAATGATAATTTGAAAGCACCCCCGCGGCACGCGACGCGCGCATTCGGCCGTCCCCACAAAAAATTAGCTTTATTTCGGTTTTTATTAAAACTACTGTTCCGGCGCAGGGCAAAGCCTAGCGCGTTTAATGGCACCACAATCACATTTCGTATCAGCAATTCAGAGGAAAATGGAATGAAATCTATGGATTGAGTTGCGATGCCGCGACACGGAACGCGCACGCACACCGGCCTAGTAAAGAAATCGGTCGCTTTTCTTTACCATTTCGTAGAAAAAGCATGTTTCGTCGTAGTTTATAGCACCGTGAATTTAAGCGCTTTCCAATCACGCGCTGTTTTCCCGATTAAACCTTTTGAAAGGGACAGGGAAGGCGCGCGAATATGCTCGTACTCCGTAACGCCGCGCGCGCGTTTGCGTTTGCGTATTTGCGCTTTTCTGCCGTTCTGCATTGGATTGCACCTCGATTGCATGATCGATGCGCGAGGAATTTTATCCTTTTAAAAATGGGCTTCATTTCGTTTTATCTTTCTGTGGAAAATACTGTTGCGGACGTAGGTGAAATTCTGCGCCTCAAAAGCTCTTCACTATTAGGCGAACCTTTGCTTTGTTTATTACCTTAAAGCTTTTTGCTTTGAGCTTTTTTTGTAAGAAAAAATGTTTCGACTCTGGGCAAGGTTGAACGCTTTTAATTCCACTTCAGTCAAACGTCGCTATATCGAATTTACGCACGCTCTCCGCGACAAAACAAATCGACAACTCTTTTGTTGTTTCCTTTAGAAAAATTATGTTTCATATAACCAGTTAACTGATAACCAGGTAGAGGCCCATTTCTTGTAAAGTTGGCAAAACCTATTTTTTTCTGATATTTATTGTTCCTATTTTTATTTTTTTCTGAGTTTTATTGATTTTTCTTTTTTTGGTAAAAGCGCGAATCTGCTTGTCACGCGACGAGCAAGCGGATGCTCGGTTGCATAGCGATTGGCCGATAAAAAATGCGCAATTGTACTGTCCGGTAGCAAAATTATGTTTCGGATTGGTGCCTAGTTCCGCGCTTCTCATGGCAGTTCAATGTTAACTTGCCTTATAACGCCTTCTGTTCAATCTATTTTAAAGGGATGCCGACGGAATAGTCAATCGGTTACGCGCGGAAAAGAAAATGTCTCTGCGCCTCTCCCCTGGGCGCGCTCTCTCCCCTGTTGGCTACTTGCCAATTTGTTGATGAGGGGGGATCGACACATGCCGTCGGCAGCCCTTTAAAAATTCAAAGGCCCAAAAGCCAAACAGCCGTCAAAGCCAAAGCCCAAAATCACCAGTCGCTTGTATTCAATTTTCCGCAGACAGATGTGTTTCGATTTTTGTTTGCCTTTGTCTCTTTAACAGCATGATAATGTGAGGCAGTTTTTGTTGTGCACAAACCTATTTAAAGGCGCATCCCGTGGTTAATGATAATTTGAAAGCACCCCCCGCGGCACGCGACGCGCGCATTCGGCCGTCCCCACCAAAACATTAGCTTTATTCCGGTTTTTATTAAAACGACTGTTCCAGCGCAGGGCAAAGCCTAGCGCGTTTAATGGCACTACAATCACCTTTCGCCTCAGCAATTCCGAGGAAAATGGATGCAATCTATGGATTGAGTTGCGATGCCGCGACGCGTATCGCGCACGCACGCCGTCCGAGAAACAAATCTCTCTTTTTCCAATGTCTAAGAAAAAGCATGTTTCGTCTTAGTTGATAGCCCCGCGCTTTTAAACGCATTCCAATACTGCGTTGATTTTTCCGATTAATTGTAAACCTTTTTAAAGGGCAGGGAAGGCGTGCGAATATGACCGTACTCCGTCAGTTAAGAAGTTTTTGAAGCGCAGAATTTCGTCCAAGGTCGCAACATATTTTTCTGTAGAAAAACCAAAAAAGACGCCGACCTTTTTGCATGCGTTACACCTGGAAGGGGTGAGTGCGCGTCGTGTATTACGGGAAAAGAAATTCCAGCCTTTGTCGGCGCTTTAAATCCGTTAATTGGGTTTAGCCAAAGAAATCTAACCAGTATTGGAAGGCGATTGAAAGCGCCGGGTTTTGCATGAATATCAACAGGATTTTTCTAAAGGCAAAGAACAATAGTTGTCGACTTTTTTCCCGGAGGGCCTGCGCAAAATGGACACATCCAGTTCGATTGTAGTGTCAGTAACAGGGCCAAATCTTGCTCAGAGTCGAAACCTTACTTTTCTAGAAAAAAAAACAAAAAATGCTAGCAATTCTTGGCGGAAGGCCAGCTTGCGCGTCGAGTGTCGCGGGGTGCGTTCAGATTCTAATTAAATAATAATTTAATTCAGGATTAACTAGGATTAAAACCAAATTTTAAATGACATTCAGCTTGTTCCGGATTCCAAAATAGGCCGCGACACAAGAATTTGTCGCTTTGATTTAAATTTTTTTATGGAAAAGTAATGTTTTGTGTCTGTGTAAAGTTTGGGCGTTAAAAGTTTCCGCAATGAAACACTGGGACTTTTTCTATAATTTTCGCAAGAAAGCAATTTTTGGATTTGATTATGGTTCCGCGTTTTTAGTGGCCTTTTTAATACCACCTTTTCTTCTCACGTTTTAAATCATATAAGCGGATGCCTAGAGCGCGGCACGCAACGCGCGGGTCTGCCTTTCGATTGCGTAATGGATTAGCGTGAAAATTCACTTTTATACTTTTAGAGTTCAGCGTGTTTTTTACTTGTTGAAAATGATGTTGCGACTTTAGGGATACTCCGATATTTTTGTTGGCTTCCAATCTGTTGGCGTGAGACAATGGCGAAAATCTAATTAAAGGGACGAACAAGGTAACAATTTGGCGACAGGCGCGACACGCTACGCGCGGGAAATCCCCAGTGCCGTACGTAATTAGGGGCGATGCGTGGCGTGTTGCCGGCTCACAGAATACTTGCATGTTACTATTATTTTCAGAAAATAATGTACCGACTTTGAGCATACTTCCGATTTTTAATTTGCTTCCAATATCTCCTTGGAGAGCTTTTGGAGAAAAATCTGATTAAAGGGACAGGCAAGGCTGGGATTTTGTCAAGGGCGTAACGCGCGGGTCCTTTTTCAATTGCGCAATGGATTATCATGGCGGGTCGCGGCGACGAAACCTTGCTTTTATCCTTATCCTTCTTTTTATCTTTCCAAAAATAATGTTTCGACTTTGAGCATAAATCCGTGATTTTGATAGCTTCCAATGTATCGGTGCGCAAAGCTTCTTATCCGTTTTCCGCGGCCGCGACAGGCAACGCGGACGCATTCGATATAACGGCGCAACGGAACGGCCTTTTTGGGTCTCATACACGAAAATACGCTTTTATTTAAGTTGCTTTACGATAGCGCGTCGATTTTCACCCGGCAACGTGCGGAACCGATTTTCCATTATGTAATTTGGCGCGTTGCGTATTGCCGGTCCAAAATAATGTATTTTCTTGCAGAAAAGCGAAGAAGAAAAAAATTGAGAATTCCGAAAAAAAACGCTGTTCCGGCCTTGTACATAGCGTGGCTGTGCTTTGGTTTCTCAATCCCATGCTTCTCTGAGGGTTGATTCTTGGCACAGATAGCCAGATACGAACGCAACGCGACCGCGGCGCATGCTCTCTAGCTCCTGGTTTGACGTGAAAATGCGTGAATTCCAGAATTCTGACGTCATGGCTGGAATTCTAATGAGATTTTAATATTTTGGCCATTCCCATGTTTAAAATTGAAGCAGGTATCACGAAGATTGATAGATATAGAGAGCCTTACAAACAGCGCTAACGTTTCGATTTTCCTTTTTTTTCCGGAGAAAAATTATGTTGCTACTTTGTGTATAGTTGTGCCATGGTATTGATTCTCAATACAATATGCCATTTCAAATACAATCAAATAAACAAACATGACAGGGCTGCTCTAATTGGCTAAAAGCCAATCAGTGATCCCAAAAAACGGGGAAAACAGCCCGTTATTTCGACAATTTCAGTTATGACATATAATTCACGCGGGCCCAAACAGTCCAATTCCCCTAAAGATTTTTTCTCGACTGAATTTTCTTTATTTGGATTTTTTTCTCGAAGAAATATGTTTCGATAATGTTGGTAGCAGCGCGCTTTTATGGTCTGGTAATAATCTTTCGTTAATCTGGTGAGTATTATTCTTGTTACTGGATTACTACTCTTGTAAAAAATATATGCCTAGTTAATACAATTGACAGAATTACTGGATAATAAATATACCTCGGAACTGTCAAAGGTGACCAATTTCCCACCATCCCTCAGCACCGTGATCTAAAAATTGGATTTTTAGTTTCGGCTAAAAATTAAGTAAAATCATGTTTCAAGTATAGAAATAAAAAAACAGAATTTTTCATTCGTAATATTTCGTTGATTTTGATCAGTGGTTCCACCTACTTATTATTCATTTGAATTTTATTTTGACTAATTTCATGCTAAATTGAGCAGGGTTTTGGACAATGTATATAAACCAACCTCGCCCGTTGAATGGACCATCGAGCGCAGCTTTTTCTCCTGGGCACGCGTCTGAAAATAAAAAAAATTGAACCTGAAAAAAATAGTTGTTTTTATTGATGACCTGCTATAGATCGTATTCTGGCAGAATTTTTACAATAGGCCAGCCATAAAAATGCAACATTTACATTTTTATTTCGAAAGCTCAAATTTTTAGTCGACATTGGTTTTAAAAGATGTATTTATTTATCTTAATTTACAAAGTTTGGGCCTAACCTAATTCTATTAGTTCAAAAATAGCGACGTTCGAATGTTTGTTTCGGAAAAATGTTTCGTAGAAATATAAATTCCTAGAAGATTCCTTGCACTCAATTAGTTGAACTTCCCCAAAACTGCTGCGAAATAGCTTCCATTACATGTGTCGAATTTTTGAAATTCTTTTTTATTCCCAATTCCGTTAATAAAAAAATGTTTTAGGAATTTCTCGATACTGATAAGTTTTTCATTAATTAATCGCTAGCACGTGCCTTTTCTGATATACTCCTAAGTAAGAGTAACTGCCCCTTTTATGCACATTTTTGATGTATTAAAAGCCCCGATTTAGGAAGTTAAAGGTGCAATATCGAAAACTTAAAACCCAACCTGATAAACGTCAAGCGCCAACGATCCGACCGAAATGACGACAATCACCGAAGCGTAGTAGAGGTACTCATCCCAATACCATAAGCTTACACTAAAAAGGGCCATTAAAACTGTGGGCTTCAACAAACATTCCTCAAAATATTAGGCTATTAAAAAGTCTGTTCCTTGACTGGTCTATCAAATTTTTTTGCCACCATATAACTTAAGGTGCAATATTTTAAGCACTATTTTTATACTTTAAGGTAAAAGCCTAATAAGTAAAATAGGTGCACATTAACTCGAAGTTCTTAAAATTTTGAAGTTTCAATCAACATGGGTAAAAATGAATTTTTCAAACAAGTATTGCAAAAATGTTGGGCGTACAGTACATTTATTCTTTTTTTTCTTTTGTTCATGTGCTGTGTAAAATTGGTGAATCGGTTTCAAATCAAATTTCCCGGAGCTAATAGATTTTATATCCTAATTAACCTTATAGTACTTTTTATTACTTTACTTTGCTTTTATTGGCTACGGCGACGTGTCTTTTTTCACTGATCACCCAATACCGGAGACCCTCATCAATTCAGGTCAAATTTTTATGTTTCAAAAAATATAGGTAAGAATGTATTTTTATACCGGTATTACGTATGGGCCGTTTGTCAGACTGGATCCTTTTCTTTTCTTTCTTCCGTCTTCGCGCTTGGCGATATTGGTTCAAGCGTTACAATTGAATCTTTCGCAGCTAATAAATATATTATTTTTTGAATTCTAAATTTCTTCTATACTATTAATTTTGCTGGCGCAGCTAAATGGCTGGTTTTTCGATATTCATCCCAATACCAAAAGTTGCGCCGAAAAGCTCTTTGAAATTGTATCTTCACCAAATAGTGAGAAGCATGAATTTTTAAAAAACGCATTGTGATTTAGATGAGGGGTTTTATTCTTTTCCGCGAATTGCTTTGTAATGCTGCAAATTAATGTGTCAAAAACGACCCTAAAACCTCGTGTATAGTTCCGGGTGAAAATACGAACCGTCCGTAATTCCGTATGTCCGTAAACTGGTGTGCTTCGTTTTTTCGCGTTTTTGCAAATATCTCGGTTCGCCAGTGGGATTTTCAAGATTTCTCTTGAGTTCTTGATCACATTTCGACTATTTCCAACATTTTAAGTGGTTTAATGAAAGAAATTGATGGTGGGGATCCTGAGAATAGTCTATTTGCCCTAATATAGCTTTTGCGGCGAATTGCCCCCCTACGCACATTATTTGGTGTCTGTTGTATTGGTACGTAGCCAAATTATACCGGAACTATACACGAGGTTTTAGGGTAATATATTTTCTATCATGCATTACTTCTAGATTATTAGCTGTTGCCGTACGGTAGTCCTGGTCGGATTGATCAAATACGAGATTTTTCGGCATTCGTCCCATAAACCATAGCCCAACTCCAACAGATTTTTACGAAAATGTAAGTTTCGCGAAATATCGCTAGAAATTTATCTTCAGTTCTTATATTCCGCCTATTTCCTGCTTTTCTTTTGGAATAGTGTTAATAAATAATGTTCCAAAGCTAAGATAAAATTTCTTAAGCATTACTTGCACGTTAAAGTACCCAATGTGCACCTTGATATGTATTCACCACAAACGCTTATCAGTTTATTTATTAGATCATTAAATTTATTTTTTTAATTTGAAGTTTCACGGAAAGCTGCTAAAAAGTGTTTTTAAGCAGCGGATTGTAACCTATTCACATAGCAGGCTTTATTCTTTTTTTTCTTTGGTGGACGTGCTTTGTAATATTCGTCTAATCGCTGCAAATCTAATTTTTCAAAACTAATGTAGTTTCCATCATACATTATTTCTATACTATTAGCTACTGCGAAATGAGGTTTTTCGGGAAATACAAAAAACCATGCAAAGATTTCAGGAAATTTCAAGTTTCAGCAAATTGTGGTAAGACTGAATTTAAAGCAAAAATATTCTCGACTTGAGCAGTTCTACCGCTAACTTTTTATTTTTTTTTTGCCGATTTCGTTCAATCGCGGCAAATTCAATGTTTCGTGTTTAGCTACTCTTTTGATAAAAAAACAGCAGGAATTCGGCAAGAAACCCGATTGTTCAATATTAATTTCTCTCACGCAGCTAAATGGGTTGTTTTTCGGCATTCGTCCCAATGCCAAAGTTGCGCTAAAAACTTTTTGAAATTGTAAGTTTCATCAAATATTACTAAAAATGAATTTTTAAAACGCGTATTATCGCTCCGTTGTAGTAGTTGATTCTTTTTCGCCAAGTTTCTTTGAAATTTTGCAAACTAATGTTTCAAAACTAGTATATTTTGTAGCATGCATTTAATTACACTTACTGCAATACCGTTAAATTTGTGCAAAGGGAGTTTTTTTTGTTATGACCTAATATAATCGGTTAGACTTTTTGAAATTGCAAGTTTCACCAAATTGTACTAGAAATGAATTTTTTAAAAACGTATTGGGCGCTTGAGAATATGTCTTATTATGCATTTTATTATTATTGCATTATTTACATCTTATTATTTTTATTTATTATTTACTTTGCTTTTATTCCTGTTTGACGCGCTTCGCTGCAAGCGCCACGAATTGAATGTTTCGTATTTAACTATCGTTTTAATAAACTACAATAAGCCATCGGGCAGCAAAAAACTGTTCCAATTTCACTTTTACTACGCCTTGTGAGTTTTCTGAGTCTTGTTTTAGAATTTAGAGTTATCTTGTGAGTTATTACTTTTTAAACATGATTTGGCTGTGATTAAAGAATATACTAACAGGCAGTTTATTTGAATAAAACTCGACGAACCTGAGGACCTGAAAGATGTAGAATGGCGTGATGGCTTCTTTGAAAAGGAGCACCACAATCGGCTTGAGCTTCACCTCGATGATATTTTTACCGTACGTGATGCGCCGTTGGTCGACCTGTAAAGATATATTGAAGTCTAAGTCTTCCTGACATTCAAATGATCAGCATTTTAGGGAAAGGGCGCTATTTCGAAACACAACTTTTCGAAACTGTAAAATAGCGGAGAGAGAGAGAGAGAGAGAGAGAGAGAGAGAGTGAGAGCGAGCGAGAGTGCGAGCGAGAGAGAGAAAGTGCGAGCGAGAGAGAAGTTTCGATTAAATTACCTTCTCCGTCGTCAGCCCGGCGCTGTCGTCCATCCTGTCGATGAACACCTTCACAGGAGCCTGAAAATTTGTAAATATTGTGATAATTTTATTACCATCTTTCAACTTTATTGAAGAAACCGGAAACGGTGCATTTTACTAATGTTTTTTTTTGCGGGGATATCTATGCTGGCATTAGGGCAAACCGCGGCAAAACCAAGCGGCTATTTGGTGAAACACTCAAACGTCTTCAAAAATTTTGAAAAATGGAGATTTCGTTAAAACATTTTTAGGTAAAAACACAATAGCCTTTTGGTATTTTTAACCGTGTAAACTGTGTAAGATTTTTTCGTTTAGGAATGGCAAAAATATCCTGTAAAAACGGCTCCTCGGTTTAAATATGAAAATTGGTGTGTCACTCCGGTGATGCAAAAACACCATTTCTTCAAATATTTGCATTATTTTTGCGTATCTTTGCGCGTTGCTAATTGCGTGGCGGCTAAAATATCTATAATGTCTTGCCGGGCCCTTTAAATGGCCAAGTGGTGCGTGAAGATGGGAAAAATAAAATGTTTCAAACCCCCACCGTGCTGTCGAGGCTGGACGGCGGCATAAATTTGCCGTCCTCCTCGAACCAGGCGTACACCATTTTGCGGAACGTGAAGAAGCGGATTCGCGGCACTAAAGATGTACATTCAAATAAAACTTTTGGGAACATCTTGGAACGGTAAATTACGGATCAATTTTTCACCGGTACTTTGTACATTACGAAATATATGTTTTTTTTTTCTGTTGGACTCCAGAGTGTGTAATGAAAATCGACCCCGGTCTATCTAAGCAAGCTCGGATCCGGATGATTTCACACCATTCGTAAGCCTTTGAAACGGCGAGAAAGCGAGCGCTTTTCGTTTTATAAAATTTTTTAGTCCGCGCTCGATATCCAACGATTTATTAAAAAGGCGTAAAACCAGCATCGCCCATTTTGTTTTAGCAAGCAATTTAGATGCGGATTTTGCAGAAATCTGCAGTTTTTCATGGGTTTTGGCCTTAAATTTGCTGAATAATACCCTAAAACCTCATGTATAGTTCCTCCCCGTGTATATGTGTGAAAATACCGTGTGAAAATACGAACCGTCCGTAATTCCGTATGCCCGTAAACTGGTGTGCTTCGTTTTTTCGCGTTTTTTGCAAATATCTCGGTTCGCTAGCGGGATTTTCGAGATTTCTTTTGAGTTATTGATCACATTTCGACTCTTTCCAACATTTTGAGTGGTTTAATGAAAGAAATTGATGGTGGGGGATCCTGAGAATAGTTTATTTGCCCTAATAAAGCTTTTGCGGCGAACTGCCCCCGACGCACATTATTTGGCGTCAGTTGTATTGGTGCGTAGCCAAATTGTACCGGAACTATACACGAGGTTTTAGGGTAATAGCTATGTTGTCAAAGGAAAAGTTGCTTTCTCGCCTTTCCGAGAGCTTCCGATAGATATCTAAATCGTCAAAATCGGACGCTTCTCCGAGACGCCAGAGACGGATCGATTTTTTTGACACCCTATAAGGTAAGATTAATCTATAGAAATAAGGTTTTGATGCTCCGAAATCTTAAAATATCTGGTTTTGTCGTGATTTTTTCGAAGAAAGCCGATGGACCGGGGAAAAATATAGCAATAGTTCTAATTAAAGCTCTAACGAACGCAATAGGCAAAAGTTTCCCGAAATAAACGCACTTACAATGTGATCAAAGGCTAGTTTTCGATATTTTAGCTATTTTTCGGCATTTTGCCGACGTCATTCGATAAGCATCAAAAAATACACCAAACGTTTTAATTCCAGCTCAAAATAATGTAAGACGAAAAAGTTATAGTGGAAACAAGGACAAGACGAAAAACCCGTTAACAGTAATTTAATTCTATCATTTTTATGATCAATAGATACGATCAAAAAATTTATTTAACAAGTAATTCCACATCAAGCAGCATTTCGATTAGGTCAAAGCCCGGCCTGGCTACGCCAGCGATTTTTGCAACATTTTTTCGCTTAAGAAAAATGAATTTACTGAGCACCATCTCCATCCCTTTTTTAATGAAAATCAATAAAAATTTAATTAAACTAATGCTTGTCATTTTTCATTTGTCAAAATAAATTTTATAAAAATATACATAAATTGCATCGTGAATTTACCTTCTTTATAGTCCCCCTTTCCATCTGGCAATATCAACGGGCGTCCGCCGGCTTTTTGCTGAATTATCTGCACGCTCCGGTAGACGATCGTGTGGTTTTCGTCACTGAAAAGATTAAAGTTTCAAAAATTTACAGTCTCTATGTAAAATTTGGGAAATCAATAACTGGTCGTAAAAATGTCTTAAATTTCTTTGCTGAAAACTTATAAAATTCCGGCACTGTCATAAAAGTAATAGAAATATCTGTAGTATAAAAATATCTTATTTAATTTATCACCAAGATTATAAATGAAGTTTTACTTAATTGGCATGATTTGCCGGAACAAAGCTGGATATGACTACCTAAAAAAATCAGCCAAAAATCCTGGAAATTCTAAAAACATACAAGTTTAGAAGTTTCAGAGTGGCGTCCGAATTTGGTCTGGATAATCTCTACTAATCATAATATTTAAAAAAAACAATTTTTGCATAGATAAACCATCGCCTTAGAATGTTTTTGCAACTGGAATTATAGTAAAGAAAGATGTTTCAAAAAAGTTACTGTTGGCCTACAAATTATCTTGATTTAATCATCGTTTGATCGTGTTTGATTCAAGATCGGTAGAGGATCATAAATACTTACAGCCCCGACAAATTCGTTGCTTTAATGTCTTAATTTAACCATAAAATTGATCCAATAGTGATTAGTTAATTCTTAATTAATGGTTGAGTAAAATATAACAAATCTCAATACTACTAATTGATGAAAACTATGTCTATAGTTATATTCTTGAAACATATCGGTTTGAAGTCCAAATAACTTATTTTGCTGATTTTAATTAAAGCATCCATCTAGCTCATTTATACGATTTTCAAAGCAATAAGGCTTGGATAATATAAACGATCCTGGCCTCTTAAAAAGTTCCTTGAAATTGGATTCAAAAAGGAAAAATGTTTCGAAAAATTTTCTCGTCGACCACAAATTATTACGCTTATTCGCGATGGCCTATTATTGCTAGCTTCACAGCAAATCTGTACCTTATTGAATTAATTTAATAATGGAATTAATGCAATAAAGATGAGTTTATTCATATTGAACGGCTGAGCAATACCGACGACCATTGCTACTAATTGATTAAAACTATGTAATTTTATTCTTTAAACATATTTTTTCTATTTTTCTATTTACATACTATTTTTCGAAACCATAAAACTCACATAATATACACAATAGTGGCCTCTTCAAGTGTACACTTCTCGGCTCGCATCGAAATGTACCTGAAATTCGCGTCAGAAAAGGATGGTCGCAATAGTCTAGCTACCAAGCACGTCGCTTTCAATTTTTATGAAACATTTTTCGAAAAACCAGAATTTTATTCAGATTTTTACCTATTTTTGTTTTAGAATTAAATTATTTTATTGAGAGTTTATCGGAAAAAGACTGAAAAAAGGAGTGACGTACAAGGTGTCTCATCACCATTCGGAAGCCCTTACACGGTGAGTTTGCGGCAAGTTTTTTAAGCTGGTTTTTTAGTGTTTAGATGTGTTTAAAAAGCTAGTTTTTTTAAACACGGGATTGCTAGTTTAAAAATATGAAGGAACAACAACTGAATCTTATTAACGGCTACTTCCGGTCATTTTGCCTCGCAAACTTGAGAAAATTAGCTCGTGTGCACCCACAAAAAAACCGCAAAATTTTACAAAATGACTTGTAAAATAGCGGATTTAAATAAAACATAGTTTTGAAGATTGTTGCAAGCTGGCCGTTTGAAGGGCTTTCGAATGGTGAAACTCTCATTCCGATCCGACACATCTGCGCCGAGTGTGGCGCGATGTTTATTGCCTCGAGCGGATCAGGAGCCAGCAAACATTTTCTCGCAAAGAACTTCCAATCCTTCTTGGGATTTTAAATTAGCCCTTATATTACATTGAAGATTGGCTAGAAGTTTTTCGGAAACCTGTTCATTAATTTGTAAACATTATTTTTACTTATTTTTTATTTGGTTTTGATGGATTTTATTTTTTCCGGCTGGAAATTCGAACTTTATTTCGAATTGTATTTTTCCTTGCGTGGACTACAGTATTTTCCAGGCCATTGCTACCAAAAATATAAAAAGAAAAGAAGAATGCGAAATGAAGCCGGTAAAAAATCCAATGAGAAGGACGCAGAAGCCTCTTATTATTTGTTCCAAATCGAGCGCGATGATGAATCATAATGAAACATTTTTTGCAAAAAAAATTTAACCTGATACTTGATAGCTAATTGACTGGCAGGGGGCTTTTCTATTTTTTGAAGCTTTTTTGAATGCGTAAAACCGTAAAATGCGTTTGATACCTAAAAGCCATGTCGGTTAGATTTTGAGGAAAATTTGACCACAGGAATATTTTTCAAGGGTTGGATATGTCGATAATTATCTGTGAAACATGTTTTTCATTATTTTTCCTGAGTTTTGTGATGGTTCGCGCGATTAAAATTTAGTTCTTGTAATAATTACCGGGATAGTGGGATTTTTCTTTTCATCTTTTTGCGATAATATGACAGAAATCTCAAATTCAAATATCAAAGGAAGCATCTGGCAAGGAAGCGTTTATTATCTTAGCAGCTTCGCGAGTCACTATAAAATTTGGTGAAACCTTCTCCCGTAAAAATGTTCGGATTTGAAACTACCTGAGAACTCTGCCGGACCCAGATTTTTTGAAAATTCACGTTTGCATTTAGTTCAGTACAAGAGTGGTCCATTTTTTAACCCATTTTAAAGGCTTAATTCGAGAAGACTTATTTATCTATTTATTGATGTGCACTAGGCTACATTTTTCCTAAGCTTTTTGAAGGATGGCACGAGTAAAATGTAGTTGCTGTTTTAATTAACGGATTGCAGCATTTTTATTTTTATTTTTTTTTGCACTGATATGACGGTAAATTATCCCGCAAAATTCAACAAAGCGTATGCGGCATGGTTATTATCCTAACAGCATCATTGGGAACTATAACATTTGGTGAAACTTTTTTCCAAAAAAGCCTTCTTGGTTTTTAAATTGCAGAAGTTAATCCTATCCTATAAGCGAGAAAAGTATGTCTGTTTTCTGTGCAGCCGATTTCTCGGCCGTCTGGCCGGATTTCGAGCTGATTTTTGGCATGGAGGCGGAGAAATGCATTTGCCAGACACGCATTTTTTTGTTTTGCGAAATTCTTCCATTTCGCAATTTTACAAGCAAAATGGTAAAAATCCTTAACAAAATGGGCGACAAGCCGTGGTGTTCGGGCCATAACTCGAGTTCCTGATTGAATTTCGGTCTGTAATTTGGAGCACTTACACTGCTGGACATAATTATGGCCTCAGTGAAAATTTTTGAAAAATCTCGAATTTTAGCAATTTTCATGTAACGCTTTCGATGAGAGAAAGTAGCTGTATCCCATCACCAATTCACACAACAAGTCCGTTTTGGCATCCTTTGAACAAAAAAAAAAATTCCGAAAGATTTTTGCCCAAATGGTACTTTGGAAAAGGGACATAATTATGGCCTCACCTGGGTAAATTTTTTATAAACGTTACGAAATCGCACAAATCAATCAAAAAACATTTCCAATAATCTTTGGGTACTCTCTTTCATGTAATCCAGTGTGAGGGATGGCTCTCCAAGCCCAGACGAAGGCAGTCGAGCCAGATTTCGGTCCACTGGTTATGTGGCCGCAAAAAATTCCTGTTGCTTCCCGGTACTCTTTGCTCCTGTTTACATTTTGCTTAACAATCCGCCTCAAACATGGTCAATGGCCATACGATCCGCGAAATCATTTGGGCACTCCGGAAATCCCGTTTGAAGGTATCGGCGCGAATTCCGTATCCGCCTCGCTCGATGAATTGCAGCTTCCTTTTGCTAAAAAACGCCGGTTCGATTCTGAATCCGTTTGGAAACGGGCTGGATTCCACCGGCAACAACTGACGCCGATGCTTAACCCAGGCCAAGTGGAAAATCGCGTCAGATTTGCTCGCCGAAGCCGGAGGGTAGCTTGGGGTAAGATGGGGGTTTGCCCAGGGTCCTCAAAATCCCTCTAATTTCTGTTTCTGATAAAGAGAGGCCTTTTTGCGATCATTCTCACTCCTTTTGCCATAAGCGTCTCCCAAAAACATCGATTGTCTGCAAGAAATTTTCAAGATCGTGCTGTTGTTGTCGTTTGGGCCATTGAGTGATGAGAAGCAGCGAAACGGAGCCTCACTCTGGCTTAAATGAACCAAGCCGACGGCCGACAATTGTAGCGCCGTGGAATCCAGCCCGTTTCCAAACGGATTCAGAATCGAACCGGCGTTTTTTAGCAAAAGGAAGCTGCAATTCATCGAGCGAGGCGGATACGGAATTCGCGCCGATACCTTCAAACGGGATTTCCGGAGTGCCCAAATGATTTCGCGGATCGTATGGCCATTGACCATGTTTGAGGCGGATTGTTAAGCAAAATGTAAACAGGAGTAAAGAGTACCGGGAAGCAACAGGAATTTTTTGCGGCCACATAACCAGTGGACCGAAATCTGGCTCGACTGCCTTCGTCTGGGCTTGGAGAGCCATCCCTCACACTGGATTACATGAAAGAGAGTACCCAAAGATTATTGGAAATGTTTTTTGATTGATTTGTGCGATTTCGTAACGTTTATAAAAAATTTACCCAGGTGAGGCCATAATTATGTCCCTTTTCCAAAGTACCATTTGGGCAAAAATCTTTCGGAATTTTTTTTTTGTTCAAAGGATGCCAAAACGGACTTGTTGTGTGAATTGGTGATGGGATACAGCTACTTTCTCTCATCGAAAGCGTTACATGAAAATTGCTAAAATTCGAGATTTTTCAAAAATTTTCACTGAGGCCATAATTATGTCCAGCAGTGTATGTATTCGATAGTGGGGATCACGCGCATCTTATTATCTTTACAAATTTTTAGCGAATTCAGACTCAAAAATGGAATTTTGTTAAGCGACCAAAGGCCCCTCCCGGGATCAGTGGGTACCCATTCCTTTGCCCCCCGCCCTCTCCCCAGGACCACAAGAGGCCTTTCCGGCCTCCATTTCCCATCTGCCCCGTGGTGTAGTGGATTTGCGTCCGGCCTACCACGCCGAGAGTCGTGAGTTCGGATCCTGGGGAAGTTAACGTTTTGCTTTTTGGCAGTTCAGCCACAAAACATTTTTCTAGGCCCTCGGTGTGCGAGGTTTAGGCCTGGCCCTCGCTCTAGCGCCGCAGGTCAAAGAAAAGGTCCTTGCCCAGGCTCTCGCGCCGCAGGCCAAGGATGGGTCCTTGATCTAGGCTCTTGCGCCGCAGGCCAAATCCGGGAGGAAAACCAGTAACTAGCGCCGCAGGCAAAAAGGTCCTAGCGCGAGGTTTAGGCCTGGCTTTGGCCCTAGCGCCGCAGGCCAAAGAAAAAGTCCTTGGCCCAGGCTCTCGCGCCGCAGGCCAAAGACAAGTTCCTTGAACCACGCTCTAGCGCCGCAGGCTAAGCCCCATAGAAAAATCGGTAACTAGCGCTGCAGACTCAATGATTCTAGCGCAACGCTGACTCTGGCGCCGCAGGCCAAGTAGGGGTTCCTTGACCAAGGTACTTGCGCCGCAGGCTAAAAGGAAGCAAGTATTGAAATTCATGATTCGTGGACGGGGTCCAGTGGAAAAGGGCCGCGAAGCGGTCTTTTTCCACTGGTCTCTCATATATGTTAAATATTATTTAGAATTTAACCGCGTTTCATAATTTTTAATTCATACACGATGGCCGGAATGAACTAGTACATCAGGATTAATGTTTTCGAGTTGCCCGCTAACAAGTGGCTTAAACATACTCTTTCTAACCTTGCCTGCCCTGGAATTCTGCCGGATTGAGACGTTTTAAATTTATGTTTTCATCTAGAGCACTGCTGCAGTTTTCTATAGATTCACCTTTCTGAAAGGCTTAATTAGAGGAAGGTAGCGACGACCGATCACTTTTCTTGATTCCGAGCTGATCATAAATATCTATGAAACATGTTTATCATTATTTTTTCCTAGGCTTTTTGATGGTTGCCACGATTAAAATGTAGTTACTGGTATTATTAACGGGATTGCGGTATTTTTATTTTTATTCGAGATGACGATAAATGCTTCTTCAGAATTCAACAAAGCATATGCCGTCTGGTTATTATTCCAACAGCATGGTTAGGAACTTTAAAATTTGGCATAACTTTTCACAAACAAATTTTCTGGGATTTTAAATTGTAAAAAATAACCCTTGATTTACGTTATTATCCTACCCTTACCTTTATTAGTTATAATTTAGCCTCTTTTTTATCATTTTTAATCTTTTGGTTGGTCTCAACGCATTGTTTGAGGGAATTGTTGTTTTGGAATGGCGACCAACTGACGGCTAGTATAAAACATAATTTTTCAAACGCTTCGTGCGCGGGAATTCTGCCGGATCAACACTATTTAAAATTTTTCGTCGAAGGAATGCATTGGAACAATTTATGCATGTAGAGCACTGCTGTAGTTTTCTACATATACCAATCTTTCTGAAAGGCCTAATCTAAGGAAGATAGCGAAGATCGATTACTTGCCTTGATTCTGACAATTCTGTGAGCTGACCAGAAGTAACTATTTCAATTCTAGCGGCTGGCTAACTATGAAATTTGGTGAAACTTTTTTCAAAAAAAGTCTTCTTGGATTTCAAAATTGTAAAAAATACCCCTTGATTTATGATCAACATTATGGCTTGTTTTACTAAATTTGTACTACTACAGATTATGGCTTCCTTCTTTATCAACGAATTAATGCTTTAAAATCGCGGGAACTAGCATCTGGTATAGAACATATCCTTTCTAAACAACTTTCCGACCTTTTTTTACCAGATCACGGTTTTTAACTGATTATTGTTTTTCCAAAGTATCGTCTTTACGTAAAAAGCCAACTATCGTACCACTCCTCCTTCCAGTGCAGCAGCAACCGAAAAATGCCGAGCGTGCAGAATGACAGCGCGTAGAAGACGAACTGAAAAATAAAGAAACTCTTTTGATTTTCGAACCTCACTACACGTATTATTTTAATTAATTTTTAATTCCTACATTTCTCATTGCCGTCGTACGGTATCCATAAATGTCCATGTAAATGTCACCTGCAACGAAACGTAAATTAAAAAAGGGTAATTTCCAAGAATCCGTCGTGATTACGTGAAGAAAGTTTACGTCCTTGCTTGCGCTTATTTGCAACATTCTACTTGTCAAATCGAATAGTTTCCAATAAATTACTTTTATTTAATTAATTTTATTTTTATTAGTTTAGTTTTTATCTTTAGTCTTAATTCCAATCGATCCGCCATTCGTCGCGAACAAAGCGACTTTTGGCATAATTTCGGTGTAACATTTAGTTTCTCTTGAATTACTCGGAAAACACGTGCTTTTTCAAGTTTTGTGAATTGATATTCCTTTATTAATATTCTTATATAAATAGAGAAGGTATTGCTTAAATTCTTTTTTACCATTTCTCCGGGGAAAACTTTACAAAGCTATATAAAAACTACAAAAATACAGGTTTTTCGACTAAAATGTCTAAAACGGTTGAAGTTTTTAGATGATTTTTCACCTGAAATATAATAAAATTTTATGAAAAACATAATTAAAAAACTTGCTATGGCGTTATTACGCATTTCTGCACTTAACTAAGGAAGAAATTTCGCCCCCCGATAATGCTAAAGAACCTAAATCTAAAAGAACCTAAAAGTCATAAAAAGAGAACGAACCTGACTGTACCCGGGTATGATGCCCTGGTGGCCCTCCGGCCCTTACTTCCGGAGCGGCGCCTCCCATGGCTCCTTTTCCCTGCTCCTCTACGCGGTTCCGCGAGATTCCGATTGCCGATCAGTTTCGACGCCGTGTTGTGGGCTGCCGGCTTGTGCGGCGCCTAGCAACTTTTGGGGAGCCCGACGTTGAGGTGTCGGCCTTAAAAAATATATATATTTAAAATATCATTTAAAATAAAAAACACAAATTTAGAGTGAAACACATAAAAAGTAAGAATATCCAATGAAAAGCAGAAAAAATGAAATGACAAATGATTCTTTATTCTGACAAACTAAGAATGTGTCATAACCTCGCAATTTTCGAAATTTTGGAAAGTGCTAGATTATGAAATTCCGAGATTCTAAAATTGCGAGGTTGCAATTGAACGCGAAAAAGAGACTTTATTATCTACACCCGAAAACCTGCCGAAGACCGAATTTGTAAAAACACCTTTTTTGCAAAAAAGCGTTAAAACCTAATAAATAAGAGGTTTTTAACAAGAAAAACTAAAAGCCAAGCTGACAGCGCTAGGAAAAATCAACCATGAGAATATAAATCTATGGAGTAATAAGGAGTGCAATGTAGCAACGCTTCATCAAAAACATAAAAGAATTACGTAAATCACCATTAACTGAATTAGCCAAATCGCTGCAACACAATTTTTTGATCGGTATTCGGAGAGTGAAAAAAGAAGTAGCACGAAGCATAATGCTTACACCATGGAATTTTATGCGAGGCAAGTAAGAGGATGTACAAATTAATAAAATCGTCGTTGACTGTAAACAGCCAAACAACAGCAACATATTTTTTTAATCAAAAATCAATCATTCATCATCACGAAAAATTTCGGGACTCACGATAAAATTTGATCGCTTACGCTACCATTTTTCTATGTATTTTTAATCCATGATGTTGTTACTAAGATGTTGATACTATTTTTACAAAGCGAGACCCCAAAATATAGGAGATTTTAGAAAGACAATTTTTGGGAAATTGACGTAGCTGATAAAAAAAAATGTTCGTTTGCGAATAAGCTGCTTCAAGCTCGCAAGAAGTCACAAAATAAATAGAAAGCCAGGTAACCGACAAAGTCAATCAGACAAAATCGACTTATTCATAGGACACCCATTTTTTCGCTACCATTTGTGAGGTTCGTATCTCGCTTCTATTAGCGATTCCACAAAGCTTTAGCACAAGAGAATTATGTGAAACAGCTTTTTCAAAAAAATTAGCACCAAGAGCGAATCGATCTAACACTTATAGTTAGCCCTGATAATCTGAAAACGAATATTTTTTTAACCACAAAAAGCGAAAAGTCTCGTGGCTACTCGAAAAATAACGCACGAATTTATAAAGCGACCAAGGCATGGCTAGAGAAATCTAGCGGCAGCGCGTAAAATAAAAATCGCGTAAAAATAAGCGCGTAAAAATAGAAAGCGGTGGATTAACTGGATTAGCCAAATCTCAGCAACACATTTTTTTAGTGCCATCTGGAAAGTATGGAACATCTCGCTTCCACTATGGAATTTTAGAGAACGTGAGCGAATTCGGATTTTCGAAAGTTAATCGCAGCCGTTCACAACAAACAGGATAGAAACTACCCAACAACCAAAATTGTAGAAACATTTTTTCAAATATTTTGGCGCATCAAGAAGGAGAAATTACCGTAGGTTTAAAGCACAAAACAAAAAAATTGGGCTGACAGGACAGGACACCAGGAATAAATATGATAAATCCACAATAAAATTTAATATTAATATACTTAAAGTAAGAAAAAGTTGGAGAAAATGATTATGCGGCTGCAAAGAAAATGTGCAACTATTAATGTTGTTGACGGTCACCATCCAAATCTCAGCAACATTTTTTTCATCAAAACTCATCATTTATCATCACGAAAAAGTTTGGGACTCGGGATAGAAAATTTTAATTGCTGCGCCGTCATTTTTTTAGAATTTGCTGCTTATAAAAACAAGTGAATATTTACAGCACTAGCTTCTAAAATAATGACAATTTTAGAAACATACAATTTTGAAAAGTGCCAAAGCTGTTGAGAATTTGAGTTTTCCCCCTTAAAAGCTGACTTAAGCGGAAAAGAATATCAATTGAAGTTATATAAAAATGCATTGATAGGATATGCAGCCTTTAGGCAACGTTTGTTGAAATCCAAGAATTCAACCTTCTATTATCTCGATCACAAAGTTTGCAGATATCGGAATTTGTAGAAACATCTTGCTTAGAATTTTTTACCTGAAAATACGAAAAATCCACTATTTAGCCAAAAAAAAGTTAAAATTAAAGCTGGCGGCACTAGAAAAAAAGGGCAAGAAGATATAAGTGCAATTAAGAAGAAGCTAGAGGGATATAGCAACGCCGCAACGGAAAGAAAGAGGGATTGCGTAAAAAACCAGTAGCTGGATCGGCCAAATCTCAGCAACATGCTTTTTCTATCGGTATCCGGCGAGTGAAAAAGAAATCGCACGATGCGTACACGCTTACGTTATGGGATTTTAGAGAACGTGAGCGGATTCGGTTTTTATGAATGTTTGATCTTTGGGTCCCACCACATATCCCACAATAAAAATGGTAGAATTACTTCTTCAAATTGGTTCACAGAAAAGCTGAAGAGGATAACGATTTTTAGAATTAATGTGTTTTACAAGTAGTGGTACGCAGCAAAATAACTTAATTTGCTGTGAGGTGTTTCTTCCCAAGCCTAGAAAATTAAATGGCAGCTATTAAGTTGGCCTCCAAAAAAGCAGATTTTAAGCGGGCAACACGGCAAAATAATCGACGAATCGCCACATTGATAATCAGCTTAACAAACCGGACACCAGGCGACACGCCTAATAACAATCAGATAAAGAGAGAGAGAGAGAGAGAGAGCGAGAGAGAGAGCGAGAGAGAGAGAACGAGAGAGAGTGAGCGAGAGAGAGAGAGAGAGAGAGAGAGAGAGAGAGAGAGCAGCCAGCTAGCAGAGACACGTGGGGAAACCACGACAATGTTTGGCGGTGAATATTAGCCGGTAGCCTAGCTCAATGTAATGGGGTTCTGGATTTGGCTTTGCCTGGCCAATTTGATGAAACATGTTATATTTCGTGACAATCGGAAGAGAGAGAGAGAGAGAGAGAGAGAGAGAGAGAGAGAGAAAGTGCGAAAGAGCGTAATAAATAGAAAAATGGCTATATACAATAAAATAACCATTTCGAGTGAAAAATGCAAATGAAAAGAGCGCGAACGTGGCTCAAAATCGAAGCACGTGGCGCCATTTAGCGCCCTCAAAAAAGCCAGAGCAGTCGGCCAACAAAACCGCCTATAAATTGAGGCATTCAACGAAAAAGCGGCGGTGAAGCAGAGGGGTATTATCAGTTATCTTTAGCGAACTTTTCAGAGGCCCTGCCTTTTGGATGTTCGAAGACTTTTTGAGAAATAATGTTTCAAAAAACGTTTAAGATTTAGCTTAAGCAGGTAAACTAATTATTTACGGCGACTCCTTTCGATAACAATAATATATTTTTATAGTGTTGTTAGTCGTTTACGATTGTTACAAAGCCATAAAATAAATTTAATTTCGAAAATTCGAAGGGCAATTCGAAAATTCGAAACAAACCTTTTTTTGGTGAATTTTATACATTTTTGACTAAAACGTAAAAAAATGTTGTACTTAGGCTTTTGATATCTGAAAACTGTGTTAAATACTATTAAAAAAATTGATATTTTACTTTAGGGCTTTACAGGATTACTGGGGAAAAGATTGGTTGCCCCCTGCTAACAGTTCAGTACCGAGTGTCAGTCCTCCGATTTAGTTAAATGTATTTAGTTTAGTAAATAATAAAGATCGACAATAATAGAAAATGGCGCCACCGAATCTTCAAATTCGATTTAGGAAATTTCGAAAATTTGGGTAAATGTTTCAAAATCAATTAAACAAGAACATGGTCATTCCTCCCGCAATCACTTATATATAAATTGCTAATGTCCGTGCGCCCGACCGTCCGTCCGCACGGATCGCTGCGGGACCCCATGTCCCCAGGTCAACGTGCCCCCAGGGCATGTCCCGGGGAAAGGGGGAGGGGTCAGAGGTCACAGGGGCCGTTCGCGCATTAATGGTAGCAGAAATCCCCAAACAAAAGAGTAATTGTTTCGCAACTGTTTTTATTGCTTTTTTAGTATTAAAGGGCTGCCGACGGCATGTGTCGATCCCCCCTCATCAACAAATTGGCACGTAGCCAACAGGGGAGAGAGCGCGCATAGGGGAGAGGCGCAGAGACATTTTATTTTCCGCGCGTAACCGATTCAGTATGCCGTCGGCATCCCTTTAAAGAAGGTTTAGGACTTTGTTTTAAAGGGTATTCTAGCCATTAGGCGTTTCTTAGATGTTTTTTTTTAGTAGCTAAGAAGGGGAAATAACTTTCTTTCAAGGGTATTCTAGCCATTACGCGTTTCGTAGATGTTTTTTTAGTAGCTAAGAAGGGGAAATAACTTTCTTTCAAGGGTATTCTAGCCATTACGCGTTTCGTAGATGTTTTTTAGTAGCTAAGAAGGGGAAATAACTTTCTTTCAAGGGTATTCTAGCCATTACGCGTTTCGTAGATGTTTTTTTTAGTAGCTAAGAAGGGGAAATAACTTTCTTTCAAGGGTATTCTAGCCATTACGCGTTTCGTAGATGTTTTTTTAGTAGCTAAGAAGGGGAAATAACTTTCTTTCAAGGGTATTCTAGCCATTACGCGTTTCGTAGATGTTTTTTTAGTAGCTAAGAAGGGGAAATAACTTTCTTTCAAGGGTATTCTAGCCATTACGCGTTTCGTAGATGTTTTTTTAGTCTCGAAGAAGGGTACAACTTTGTTTCAAGGGTCTTCTATGTTTTTTTTATTCCTAAAGAAGGTTATAGCTTTGCTTCTGGGGGTGCGTTAACCATTAGACTTTCCTTCTCTTTTTGTTTAGGATCAGCTACGGATGTTGGGGGGTTTCTTTTAGGGGAAATAGGAGGAGTGGAAGGTTCTTTGGTTTTGGAGGAGGTGCATAGGTAG